AAAAAAAAAAAAAAAAAAAAAAAAAAAAAAGAAAAAGAAAAAGAAAAAAAAGAAAAAGAAAAAGAAAAAACTCCCTCCGCTGATTAGAAAATGAATTATTGTACATTATATTTTATTCCCAACATTGCTTTTTTCTCACTTACAGGTACATTTGCCGAACAATCCTTGATAATGGATGCCAGGGCTTCTTTCATCGGACCAAAATCATGTGCAGCTGCCCCTTCACCCTGTGCCTTCTTTGCAAAGATCTATATAGAAGATCAAATTTTCAATTTTTTTTTTTTTTTTTTTTTTTTTTTTAAATAACAAAAGTAATAACCAAAATAAAAATAAATATATATATAAATAAATAAAATAAAAGGCCTTTTTTTTCATTATTATTATTTTTATTTACCTGAGTAGGTGGATCATTCCAATGGTTCACAATCTCTGCTGTCCTAAAGTCGCCTTTCGTATAAGGAACGGGTGCAGGCCCGGTGCCCAAACTCTTGGTAGGCGGCGGAGGTAATTTGATTCCCGAAGCTCCCGAAGGAGGTGGAGGGGTAACGGATGTTAATGATGAGCCTATAAGACTAGGAGGTCCACCCCCGAATTGATGAGGAGCCGGAAGACTCGGACTATCTGATCTGGCCGTCGTAGTGATAGGAGTGCTAGTTGAGCCCTGTGAGTCATCATTGGTAGGGTAAGCAAGAACAGAGACCCTGTTGGTCTTGCGTGGTTTAAAAGTAGGGACTGCATCTATTGGAGCCGAGAAGGTCGAAGGATCGTAGGTAGGTGGAGGAACAGGGTCCTGAGAGGATACGTCCGGTTCAGAGGATGCCCAGATAGGTGTCTCAGTCTGAGGTTGGTCCTCAGCCTCAGTGTGTTCCTCAGGCTTTTGAGTATATGCTGACGTGTCTTTGTCCATTGAGCTTAAAAAAAAAAAAAAAAAAAACTTCTTTCTCAGTAGTCGCTGTTGTAGTTGAATTCCTAGAGGGTGATGAAGAACTATCCTTTGTCTTTTATTGCTGTGGAGATGCCTAGTCCTTTTGGTGATTGCTGGTCAGGTAGATGATGGTGAATGGGAAAAGAGAGAAAGAAAGAGAGGGAGAGGGAGAGAGAGAGAGAGAGAGAGAAACCATTTTTATATTACACAATGTTCATGTGGGGTAGAGGGAAAGAGCGCGCGTTAAATTTTATTTTTTATTTTTACTTCAAAGTACATGTGTATTTGTGTATCTGTGTATATGTGTATATGTGTATGTGAATGAAGTGTATGAAGTGGGTGAGCACTTTGCTTGTAACTAGCCAGGCATAGTTCTGGATCTGGGTCTGGCTCCTTTACTTCCCTCGAACGGCATGATCACTATACCAATGCCTATTACCTATATCTTGTATGCAAGCAAAAAAACCTGACTTGATGCACAACATGCATGCTATACATGCTATACATGTTATACATGCTGTACATGCTGCACATGAGTATAGATATCTATACAGATATGAATATACGACAATCCCTTGAAAATATCCACAGACTTTTCTCCCCCAATTTTAAAGTGAAAGTGAAAGAGGCCGAGCCCAAAGTCGAGTCTCTGGCTGCTTTCGTTTATGTCTCGACTAAGGATGTGTGTGCAACAGCTCAAAAAAACACCGATAACTTCAATTCGCTTTTGCAGACCATGTCTTCTCCAAGCTCATCCTTTGATGAAAGAACTTGATTGATCCAAGCCTAGGTTCATGTTACTTTGCTGCCACAACTGTTGCATCTCATCTGTCGCATCTGTCGCATCTGTCGCATGGCTTTTTGTCTTTGAATAAAATGATATTTGGTGATGATTCTTAAATCGACTGATTGATTGATTGATTGATTGATTGTCTGGTTCATTCGCAACAATATGATTGATATGATTAATATGATGGACATGATTGATTGACATGAGTGTGTGTTCCTTGGACCTTGATCATTTGTTTCTACATTCCATCCTCCCCATCATCATCATCATCATCATCATCATCATCATCTTTTGAGCTAATCAGGATAGCTTTCCTAGAGTGTTGGCATGATTAAATCTCTTCGAAATTCCAAAAAAAAAATTGATCAATCGATCCTCGTTCCCTCCTGTCAAATGATCTCTCTACTCACAATAATCCTTGTCTTCTGACTTCCAGCTGATCGATCGATTCCAGAGCAGAGCTTAATCAAAATCATCGAGTTCATCACGATCAATAAAGAAGAAAAAAAAAAAAAAAAAAAAAAAAATTCGTCCCGTCCCGTCCCGTCCTGATTCCTGATCAAACAGACAAAGACATAAATAAATAAGACTTGTTGACAATTCCTTCGTTCAAAATATATAATGTCCTCGCTCGCTTTGATTTTCCTCGACCAGCAAACTGTCTGACAAATAAAAAATAATAGCAGTATTCCTCCTCCTCCTCCTCTTCCTCTCGAAGAACAAATTGGAGTTGATAGCAGACTTTCTCATACGACTGGGAAAATAATAATAATAATAATAATAATAATAGTTGATTTTTTTTTTTTTTTTTTTTTTTTTTTGTATCCATGAATCCTGTTTATCCCTTTGAGGTTCTTGATATCCATGATAAACTCCTGCACCATCATGAAATAATGACCTTGCTTCAAATGAGAATCGTCCCGAGTAAAAAAAAAAAAGAAAAAAAAAACTGACAATTGTAAGCATAAAGTCTTCAGAAGTTGTGATTCGCGACTAGCGCAGGCTCGTCTTCATCTCGCCTTGAATTTATATACATGTAATGAATAGGGAAACGAGTTTTTTTTTTTTTTTTTTTTTTTTATTCAACAAGAATCTCCATGTAAAAGGGGAGGTGGAGAGAGAGAGAGAGAAAGGAAAGAAATATATACATATATAAAGATATATTTATTCCTCATCCTCATCATCCTCCTGGTTGGCGATGTTGTAGTAGCGGAGCTCATAAGTACCCTTGTCAGAGGCAAGGACACGGAGCCAGTCGCGGAGCTGGTGCTTCTTCAAGAACTTCTTGGTAAGGTACTTGAGGTAACGCTTAGAGAACTCCTGGTTGGCAACAACAGTGATCTTGGCATCATCTGCACGGGTAATGGTCACCTTGTCGGCAAGACCTCCAGTGCGGCCCTCAATCTTGATGCGATCGTGAAGGAACTTCTCGAAAGCAGCGGCATCAAAGATCTTGTCACCAGCTGGGCCGGAGCAGTCAATGGTGAACTTGTGCGAGACCTTCTTGTTAGCCTTCTATAAAATTTTGTCGAGAACACATTATAATCATCATCATAAAACGTTCCAGATAAAAAAAAAAAATAATAATATAAAATAAAATAAAAGTTAAAAAGTTGCTCTTTGTCTGAATGTAAAAAAAAAAAAAAAAAAAAAGAGTTGAATGATGGTCGAATTTTAAAAAAAATCGTCATCAGAGTGCCAGCAATGAATGATCCATCCATGAATGATCCTTCATCTAAAAAAAAAGTTACATTCAGAGGCGTTGTCATAGTATCGTTGAAAGCCCATAATCCAATGATCCAACATGGGAAAAGAAAAAAATAAAAAATCGTTCCAATGTATTTTTTTTTTTCATTCACTCACAGCGGGAGCCATTTCTGTAATTCGGGAAAAGTAAGAGAGAGATCCAGTCAGTTGCGCGCTTGCTCTCTGATTTTGAATGTTTTTTTTTGTCCTGTCACGGATTGAATTTTTTCAATCCATTCAAACGCCCTTAAGTACAAATCTTCTAGCTTTAGTCAGGTGATGCTTTGCCACCGAAATTAAGTCTTTTAATGCGTTGAAAAACTAGAAAAAAAAAAAAAAAAAAAAAAAATTCTACAAAAGTCTAGTTTTCCTAGCAATCAAGACGAACAAAGCAGCAGCCATAAATATTGCCGTGACAATCCAAAAGAACCAAGCCAAGCCTTCAGACTCCTGGCCAGGGACAGGGACGTTCATTCCCCATAGACCCGTTACCAAGTTCATCGGCAAAAGAATACTTCCAAGAACTGTAAGCTTCGTAAGCACATCGTTTGTCTCGTTTGAGGCCTGAGTCATCTCAATATTGATCTGTGCCAAATAGTTGGAGTGTGACCTTGACAGAATCTTCTCGTAGTGGGACAAATTTTGAAGCATCGTGATGATATGATCTATTGTTTTTAGACAGAACTTGTCAATTGGATCCTTTCGACCCTTTATTAATACCATAGACACAAAGAAACGACGAATACTTTACCTTGGATATCGCCCATAAAGAGCCCAATTTCACCCATGGCTTTGCGTCCTACACGCCCTTCAAATCGCTTGATCAAGCCTTTGATAACATCGGCCTTGCCCGTCAAAAGTCGAAGCAGGCTCATCACCCTCTTTCGACAATTACCAATCCTTCGCAACATATCCGTCTGCTCCGACTCTTTCAAAATCAAGACTAGCTCATCAATCATGTCTACTTCTGTCTCTACCTGCCGGATCAAGGGCGCGAACGTATCCACGATATCATCAATGATCGCATAATTAATCCAGTCTATATTTAATTTGTGGAATAAAATAAAGAAATAAACGCTTAGTATGTACATTTGACTTCCCTGCATTACTTCACATCATGTATAAAACAGGAACTTACCTGGGGTTACCTCCATCCGTTCTTTCAGATGCCGGATGCGCTTCCTAACATTCCTACAATGTGGAACAGGCCTAAAGTGATACTGGAAATCATTGCGCGCCCAATTAACATATACCTATTAGTCTCCACATCAATATTTAAAATGCTATGCATTCGAGCCATAAGGTTTTTCTTTCCCCTTACAGAGATAATCCCTCCTGGTAAGACCAAGGTATAGACGCTCAGCGCTTGCAAGTAGTTGTGGCTGTTAGGATCCAACACGAAGGTGCGGAAGCATACAAAATAGTAGTTTAAGAACATCTCACACTTTTCCCGTCCCTCCTCCATCAAAATGTCCTCTGTCGTAAGCGGGTGAATTCTGAAGACCTAAAATAGTATGAGCACCCATCGATTAGCGTACAATTCCAAATAAAATAAAATAAAAAAAAAAAAAAATAAAATAAAAAAAAATAAAAAAAATAAAAAATGAAAAAAAAAAAAAAAAAAAGGCAGTAAAACAAGGAAAAAGAGAGAGAAAAAGATGAATCGATAATTGTGCGTCACCATGAAATACTTACTTGGCTTAGCATTCTAATCTCTTCATCTGTGGGAGCCAAGACATCTAACCAAAAGTAACCAGCCTGAAGCATTTTGGAGAGCGTCTGACCCCTTGGTGGAATCTCACCCAAGGTTTGTGCATGGACCGTTACTGAGGCAGTCGAATAAAGTGTGAAGCGGTAAGCATCATCTAATTGGGTCTGTTATAAAAATAATATAAAAACAAAACCAACAGTTAATAAATAAAGTTTCTACAGGATCAATGATGGTCAGGCGATTAGGCCTTTTTACTGTACCTGGCTCTTATCCCGCTCTCCAAATAGACTATAACTGCGATCTGGTGTAGTAGGGTTTTTGCTTGGGATTGAACCGTAATCAGTCATATCCTGCCCGCCTTTTGGAGACAATGGTGTAGTGTTAGAGTTTTTAATCTTTGACAACAATCCACTTGATGAACTTTTCGTCCTTCCATGAGTTCCTTGGGTTGACTTTGATGGAGAAATATCAGAGTTTGCCCTCATCCTCTGTGTTTTAATCTGTTCTTGCCGAATATATTCTTCCAGAGCATTATAGTCAATTTCCAGATCGGCTGAGTGAAGTGGATAACAAACCTAACAAAAATAAATGAATAAATAAATAAATAAATAAAAACGCCCGTCAGCATGATGAAAGTTACAATGCATCATAGTGCTAAAAAAAAAAAAAAAAAAAAAAAAAAAAACTAACATCTTCTTCTGCCACAGAATGCCGCCTGCTTGAAAGATCATAACTAGAGTCAGTTACATCCTCATAATCATAATGGTGAGAAGCGCCTTGGTTGTCCATATCTAAAATACGTGCTCCTCTTCTGGCTTCTTGTTGAATTCGAGAGAGTCGTGCATGAAGCGGAACAGGTGATGGTGTCATGATCCGTGGTAGGATCCCCACGGTGTCCATGGCTGTTGGAGAGGTGGACATGATTGATTTGGGTCTGGAATTTCTACCCCGAACCAGCTCCTGTTCCCGTTGTTCCTCGGAAATTTGAGGATAATGTCTTTGGTGATCGCCACTTGTCATGATCTGAGGCATGATGAGTGTGTCTTCGGTAAGGTCTTGGTTGATCTCTGAACCACAACTACGTCCACTATGCCGTGGACTGGACCCGTTAGAGCCTTCACTTGGGTGGTTAGACTGATGAGAGTGTTGAGAATGAGGATGGCTAGTATGGGATGAATACGAATACGATCGAGTCGAAGTGGTGGATAAAACAGGATGTTCTTGCGAACGATGAATTGGTGGCGATCTTGTTGCTGGTTTGGATTTCGCCGAACTACTGAAGGGAAGAGGAGGACGATCCCTACTGCCGGGTATGTTTTCTGATCTAGTTGATCCATTTTTACTAATATTAATGCTGTGTCCATTCCCTTGAGAGGAAGATAATATACGTTCATGACCATTTTCACGGAGAGGTTGCTGAGACTGGCGCAGCTGATCCTGGACCTGACGTTGCAAAGGCTGGTAGTCAACAAAAGATCCTGTGTAGAGCAGTGATGGTGAGTCTTCTAAACTATCAGTGTAGTTGCCAGTGTCAAGTGAGTGTGAAAAAGAATAAGATGAGTTTCGGGTGGAAGTGGCTAGAAGAGGCGCAGAATCTCTGTCATTATTCCTTTCTCTATCCCTATCCTTGTCCTTGTCCTTCTTGCTTTTGTATTTGCTACGCCTGGGACGATTTGTTCCAGCATCATCGGGGTGATTGCCCTGTGGATAGTCGGGCTCGTCATGGAAACTAAGGAAGCTTTTAGACAATGTAGAAAGTTCTGAGGGCGTGTGTCGCGTAGATGGTCGGCTTCGTGGGATTGAAGAAGGCATGGGCTTTGCAGTTGCAGTTACATTTGCATCTGTAGAATCAACAGTTGCATCGACATTGACAAGGGCATGGGTGCTATTATCATGATTAAGGCGTTGCTGATCTGCAGAGTCCATGGGTTAAATGTAGAGACAATGCACGAAGACTGAAAGTAGAATGGAAAGAGTAAGAGTGATGAGATCGAGAGAAAGGAAAAAAGAGTTAAAAGAAAGAAAAAGAGAGAATGGAGAGAGAATAGAAAAGGATAGAGAAAGAGAGAAAGAGAGAGAGAAAATGAGGCCAAGTTTCTTCGAGTTTAAGTGTGTGTAGAAGTTAAATTAGGAAATACACGCGACCGACTAGTGAATGACAGAAGCCAGGTTGGTACCTGCGCAACCTATTTGTAGCTCTGTATAGGCACCTTCCCACTTGCGCCAGCACCTAAAATATAACAATAAATGTATATATATATATATTTATATATAAAAGAAAAAAAAAAAAAAAAAAAAAAAGGAGGAAGAGCAAAGAGAACTGTCAATGCTGATACTGTCACAGGAGCTCAATGGTCATGCAATGCATTTACAACACAAATAGATATACAAACGCAAATTGCCTCAAATGACGACAGGAGTTCTTCATTTGTTTGGTATGCCCACACGAGTTTAGATCGATCGCCTTGAATGTGCTCAAGAGACATCCAATCATTTTCCGATACTCTGACGAATCCAAAGTAAAGCACTGAAATTGGACGCCATTTCTCTGACTTTCTTCTTTTGATCTCCAGTGTACAATGCGGCCAACATGCGATCCAGTAGCGAACCTACCTCTATAGAGAGGGCGAAAGAAGGAAGGAAGGAAGGAAGGAAGGAGACACAATTGGTACTCATCAACAAAGGTTCGACAGGTTGAAGACAAGGGGGCAATGCTCTGTGGCTGAACTCTCGGCTATTTTCGCCGAAACAGCCATATGCAGTCCTCACTAGATGATAGCCGTCCATCAATTGCAAGTCTTTAATATACGAGTTGACTGTCTAGGATGCAGGACCATTCTTTAGGCACAGAGTCTATAATTTACTCCGCGTCCTTCTCTATGAAGATAGTTGCTCATTGCAATAGTTTACCGTACCATGACATTTCAACGTGTAAACTACGCCTTCGTCCATATGATCTCGCTACTAATAGGGAAAAAAAAAAAAAAAAAAAAAAAAAAAAAAGGAAAGCGTTATGCTGCGAATCATTATAAAGGACAGTATCCATCGAACAAGCGGAGTATCGCCATTGGAGCAGATTCATCATCATCATCATCATCATCATCACCATCATTGACCATCACAGGAATCACTGCTCCTCCAGCTCACCCACGCCAACAAACTCAAGTTTAAAAAAAAAAAAAAAAAAAAAAAAAAAAAAAGGTGGAGTACAGATAATGCCAAAGTATTATTGATAAAAAATTAACCAGATCCGAACCCAGGGGATAGACAGGATTTTGACTACCCTGTAACATCGCAATCGGAGGTGATCAGTCCGAGCAGTAAAAATCGAGCCATCACAAAACTGTCGTTTTCATGAAACATAGAGATGCGTGCATGTTTTGTCATACAAGTATGCGTGCATGTTTTGTCATACAAGTATGCGTGCATGTTTTGTCATACAAGTATGCATGCATCGAAGCAAAGTCGCGTCGTGATCTCGGGTGCACGTCGACTGCGAACCAGAACCCAATAAGCATCAGCGAGATCAGAGCCATTCTTTGTCCCAAGTAAAGGAGGTATTAGTGAAAGATCCTTCGTATCGCCGTCTCCTAACTATTGTTGATCCCCCTTACTACATCGGCGCTAAAAGTCCGTAGCGCAGACTATCCGTGCAATCAACACACAACACACCATTGATTATTGTACAATCGTCCTAACCCCTAACCTTGACCAGTTAATCTGAACAATATTTTTTGTACTAGATGAGGCAAAAAAAAAATCTGAAGGAAACTATTAAGTTAGATTTGTTATGAGACATGACTAGATCTTTCATTCTCAAATATCCAAAGTATAAATATGTGATTTGCAACTAACATGATGGCTATAATATGGATCCAAGTGCCTTCAGGGCATTTAATTGAATATGAGGACGGATAAAAGTTCCAGAATAGATCGACACATATTCGGGGCTTCATGGGTGAACATGGGCAGGGTTTCTTTTTTTTTTTTTTTTTTTTTTTCTTTGTCTTGAGATGACGACTCAAACATCGTGATCTTTCACCCCATCACAATCTTGAGTGGTCTTATCAATATGTAGATCGGCCGATGTTCAGACCGTTAACTCTTCTGTTTCACTCCAAATGAGGAACTTGGCACACCCTGTCATCTTTAGACAATACCCAGAGTTTTAAAAACTATGTGGGGCTACTGACTAGCTATAATAAAAAAGACATCGTCTACAATAACACAAATAAAAATATGTATATATATGGAGTGGGTATGTGGTGTTTCTTTTACTATTGTACAATTTCTGTCCATGCATCTTAATGCTTTTTTTTTTTTTTTTTTTTTTTTTTTCTATTTCCTTAGATCTTCATAAAAATTGAGGGGGGAGGGGAGGGAAAGGGAGTAGGAGCTTATCAAAGTGACGATTGCTCAAAGAGTTCCTCATCCACAGGCGCAAACTGCAACAAGCGTACACCACCTTGAACCAATCCAACCTAAAAAAAAATTGACGCGTGAAATTTAGATTTTTTTGAATTAGACAAACGCGACTTTTTTTTTTTTTTTTTTTTTTAAAAAAAAAAATAATAAATAAATAAATAAATAAAACTTACGACAATGTACTCAGGATCACAATCGATACGCGAAGGCCGCAGGCCTTGAATAATCTTTTCTAACGTTGGATTAAGACTATGAGCAGTGACATACTCGCCATGTTGCCACCCATAGCCATAACCGTAACCTTCTCCTTCAACTTCACTCTGTGAGGCCTGTGCTACTTCACTACTATTGGAGGCAGTAGCAGCAGCAGCAGTAGTGGGTCCAGACCCACTACGCCTCAGGGAATGCACTCGGATCGGCACTTGATCACTCAAATTCTCATAGATCTGCACGTAAAGCAGCTGATACCGTCCTCCACCCATCGCTGCAAAGTTGCAGTCGTGCTCTAATTGGTGCCGCCAGTAGACTTCTGCACCCTGAGAATCCCATTCTTCTTGAGAAATCGGTCGTGCAAGGCCGAGGTTGTTTTGGCCATCACCACCCTCACCTCCATCTCGGTTCTGGACAAGTAGAGGCAAGCGAATATGGGCCATTGTGTTGCTCTTCTCCCAAACAACCATCGAGAGATCATTATGAAGCCAGCAGAAGGAAACTTGGTGGTTCGGTAGAATATTATCAAGAGTGAAACGGCCGTAGCATTCACCTTGAATGGAAAACAACCGTATCAGGCCATCATAGTGCAGCTCTAGTATTGTGTCTTGAATGAGATAGAGAGCCTCAGTAATGGATGTCTATTTTAGGGGAGGATTTTTTATATAGATTTATAAAAAAGCAAAAACAAGAAAAAAAAAAAAAAAAAAAAAAAAAAAGTTAGGTGGATGTGGATGATGTAGATTCAAATAGCGCTAGCATGCTTTTTTTTTTTTTTTACCTCCTCGTCTTCGACTTTAAAGTAGCTGACTTTGGTACCTGACCTCCAGTTCCAAGTGGTATAGCGACCTTTACCATCCGAGGCAACTAGAAAAGTCTTGTTGACGGCACAGATAGCCAGATCCCAAAAGTCTTCCTTATAAAAGCCGATCTGCTCGCCCGTTTCGGTCGAGAAGAGACGGATCTCGGACGTGAACTTTTCATTATCATAGCCCAGGCCAGCGACGATCTTTTGGTCTTGAAGATGCTCGACCCAGGTGATTTCGCCATGGATCTGGAACCGATGGGCCAATGTCCTGGTATTGATGTTCCAAAGATGAACACGACCATCATCACAGCCCGTCAGGACAAAGGGAGAGATGATCTGAAGGGTTGTCAACTTGCGATAGTTATCGTCAAGTGAAATGACATCTTGGACCAGACCCCGTCGCCAGTTCCGTTGACGCAACGAATGTCGTTTACAAAAGAATTTCCAGCTGGGGATATTCGTGGGAAGAGTTCTTGGGATATCAAAGTAGAACTCGCCCTGAATTAGATTCAGAGCGATCCTTTTCCATATCAATTGGTCAGAGGTAGCCCAATAAAGCAATTTGCTAGTCTACCATCCATTGCATGCATAATAAATAAACAAAAACAAAAATAAAGCAAAATAAACTATTAGTAAGGCTATAAGAGGAAACTAAGAAGAAGAAGAGGAGATGTATACATATCCTGGGGGTTCATGGGATTCATCTGGATCGGGTCACTCCATTTTTTTTTTTTTTTTTTTTTTTTTTTTTACGCCCAAGATGGGGCAGCAACAATGTGGAGGAAGATAAGAGAGAAAGAAAGGAAAGGAAAGGAAAGGAAAGGAAGGAAAGAAAGAAAGCTTCAATGGTGGAGAGAGAAAGAATAAAGTTTTTTTTTTTTTTTTTTTTTCAAAATAACAACATTGCTTTTGTTTTGTATAGCACTAATATGGAGATAAAAGACTATTTTGGATGAATGTGGGGCTTTCTCGAGGTTGAAGGTAGACTAGATGTTGTAGATGTGTATGTGAACATTTGGTTGCTGTTTGTTTGTTACAGTAGGAGAAAGGAGATCCGGATTGACATTGACATTGACAGAGACATAGAAAAAACTAGAGTGACACGAGGCAACGTCAAAATGGCAAAATGCGGGGTAATTGGTGACCTCTCCCCCCGCACAAAGTCAATCCAATCCAATCCAATCCAAAATAAAGACTCGTGCGATTGCTTCCCCGCCTTTTTCCTTTCTTCTCTCTCTCTCTTCTCTCTCATTTAGTATGCAACCTTTTTTTTTTTTTTAAAAAAAAGTGTGTCATTATTATTGTTACCCAAGAACCTTTTTGTTGTTTACCAGAAAAAGTTTTTTTTTATCCTTTTGTTCCCATAGACAGAACTCCCCCTGTCATTTAACAGCCGAATTAGCTTTTTCATTTACCAAATAAAATAAAAAAAATAAAAAGTCATTTACCAATTGACAGCTGTAAATGTCTTGAAGACTTAGATGGCCAAAGATCGAATATCGAATATCATACGGTGTCAATAACCTTTCCAGTCTAGCACTACTCTCTGCTAGCTCCTTCTGTCTTTTCCTGGCAGCATCTGCCCTGACAAGGACATGACTCTTAGGAACAGTTGCCAACCTAGAAACTTTTCTTGGTTTAGAGAGCAAAGTCTCAAGAAAGTGTTCCTTGCAGGGAATCGTACCACTACTGCTGCTACTGCTGGAAGCAATTGGCTGTTGCTGGTGCGACACGTGCTGTGCTTGAGTCTGTTGAGGTTGAATCCGTTGTTGGTGGCAAATCAAAGGTGACAACGGCACAGGAGTAGGCTCGATATAATTCAAGGACGGGCATAGTGGATTGTCGAGGAGTAAGTTTGAGAGATGGATGTTTTCAATGCTGGATGTGGTAGGGGCCAAAATGGAGCTCTGGGTGCTACTGCTACTGCTACTGCTGCTGCTACTGCTGATGCTGGTGCTAGGGATGCTGTTGCTATAACTGTAGCTATCATCCTTCAACACAAAGTCGGATCCATGCCAATGATTATCTGCAACAGACTGTTGGATGAGATTGCTAGTGCCGGGATTGTGGGCGTTGGCGGTGGAGTGGAAGGAATGTGAGAGCAAGCGCAAAGGAGCAGAAGCAAGACTGTATGTCCTCGAGACTTTTCCATCGCCTTCTGATTCAGGGCGATTCGTCATTGGAATGGAGTGAATTCAACCAAGGTTGAATGACCGACAACTGTGAATTGTGAAGAGAAAGAGGAAGAGAGAGAGAGAGAGAGAAGGAGAGAGAGAAAGAAAGAAAGAGAGAGAGAAGAAGGAATGTAGTTATATGGGTATATAGTGTAATGAGTAATTAAAAAAAAAAAAAAAAAAAAAAAAAAGCTTCAAGCTACAAAAGCGAAACGTATGAGATTTGAGAAGATGAGATATAAATAAAATAAAATCAATGAAAAAAGCGGGCAGCAAAGAGATAAAAGAGAAGGGGAAGGGAAAGGTCTTGAAGGGGTTTTCTAGCTGTCAACGGATGAAGGTTATTTTGCAACGACAAAAAAGAAAAGAGGCTTCAAGGATAGGATGTTTTGGTGTATAGGGGACAATCGAGTTTTTTACAAAAACGGATGGATGTTGAATGAAATAACATTAAAATGAGCCAAGTTGTGAATGCCCAAATTCGGTCTTTAGCATGGGATGAACAGAAGAAGAAAAGGAACAAAAAAAAAAAAAAAGCTTGTTGGAGGAATGCGAAAGGAAGGAAGGAAGGAAGGAAGGAAGGAAGGAATGGGGAGAGAGATGAAGGAGGAGGAGGAGAGGGGGTAGAAATAGAAGCACGAACGAATGTTATTAAATGTAAATGGTTATTAAATGGTTGTGAAGTGTTTGTTTGAATGGTATTTTGCAATTAAGCCCACGCTCTATCTGTATAAATGCATGTGGACAATGAGGCAAAAAAAGACACAAAAAAGTGCGTCTGTTGTGTCATTGTCCGCCCTGCCCGCTCTCTTTCTTCTCTTTCTTCTCTTTCTTCTCTTTCCTCATTCATTTGACACTACAAAAAGGGGTCATGCGGGGTTCACATCCCAAAGAGGATTAAGAACCATTGAATCCATTTTATGAGCCGTCGGAATCTCTTTAATTCCAGCCAACCATATTCCACCTCAGGTTACACAAACTACACCCTATTCCCGGACACATCCGATGCCTACTTCTCTTTATTACTCCATTACTTTAACGCGTGAAAATTATATAAATTTTTTTTTTTTTTTTTTTTTTTTTTTTTTTGGACCCACAGAATATTTACACCACATCACAGATGCGATGCATTCCTACACCTACATATATATATATATACATATATAAGGATATATCCAACATCTAGAGCACTACCCTCACCAACAACTCCTCCAGAAAACTTTTTCTAGCGTTGTAAACCCCACCTACCTTCCGTATCAACCAGACTAAGAAAGTGGGGTCGATGGATTATCTTGATCAATTAACTAATCATCGAACCATGACCTCTAAAGATTATCCGATCGGACTTGCCCTATCCAAAAGGTCAATGCTTTCAACCAATGCTCAGCTCAGACTCAAAGACTCGAATAAAATTCATCATGACAATTCCTTCTCACCAACTTTAATCCACGTTACGTTTCACTGCATACTATACTATTTAAATGTAAACCAGAGTATATATATATATATATATATATCTCCGGTGCGGCTAAAGTGCCCGCATCTGGCTTTTCTTTCTTTCTTTCTTTCTTTTCGAATGCCTATCTGCAATCATGACACGTATAAAAATAGTGCATCTACACTCCAGTCCAATTTCTGAATAAAATAAGGAATAATATATGCAAAAAGATATTCAGCTGTGTCCCCGATGACAGTTGGTGATGTGTCTAAAGATCTATCTATGTCTACTATCTACAAGCCCTTGGATAAAACATATTCCTTATATTCCTTGATACCCTCTCCCTGGAATTTCTTGAGACTGCCTCCCTCACATACCCAGAGCTCATTGCATACCGCTTTAATGAACCGCTCGTCGTGGGAAACAATAACAACTCCTCCTTTAAATTGCGTCAACGCACTCGTGAGAGCATCAATCGAATCCATATCCAAGTGATTCGTAGGCTGTTATAATAATCGAGTACAAGAGAGAAAAACAAAAATAAATAAATAAATAAAAAATAAAAAAAATAAAAAAACCTTCAAGGCAATTTGTATCATGTTGTACTCTTCAATATTATATATTTCACATAGCATAAACATACCTCGTCCAGAATCAAGAAGTGAGGATTCTGTAGACCCAGACAAGCGAACGCAACCCTTGATTTTTGACCTCCTGATAGTGTGGAGATTTGCTGCAACCCTACCATACCCGTGATACCGAACGAGGCCAACTGGCGACGGTATTCCTCCTCGCTCTTCCCCGGCCAGTTCTTTGCCATAAACTCAACCGAGGACACATTCACATCCAGCTGATCCACATGATGTTGGCTGAACAGTGCAAATCGTAGACGACCATGGCGATGAACCAATCCCTTCTGAGGCTCGAGCTTCCCCGTCAAGAGCTTCAGCATCGTCGTTTTACCAGCTCCGTTAGGTCCAACCACTGCAATACGAGAATCCATTTGCATGTCCAGGTAAATGTGTTGCAAAATAGGTTTCTCTGGTGTGTATCCAAATGTACAGTCCTGCATCTGAAGAATTGGTGGTCCCAACTTCTCTGGATCCGGGAACTTGAAGAAGATCGAGTTCTCAATCTCTGGAGGTTCCAACTCGGGGAGCTTCTCCAGAATCTTGATCTTCATCTGAGCCTGAGCTGCCCTGTTGGCGTTGTATCTCCAACGGTCAATAAACGCCTGCAAATGCGCCCGGTACTGAACCTGGTTCTCATACTCACGCAGCTGATTCTTGCGACGTTCTTCCTTCGTTGTGTCAAACTGAGTAAAGTTGCCCTTGTAGTAATCCAGCTTTTCAGAATGTTGATGTAAGATATCCGTAGCGACCTCATCCAAGAATTCTATAGTGCCAAACACACACACACACACACACACACACATATATATATATGATTAAAAAAAATCAAAAAAAAAAAAAAATCAAACAATCAAAAAATTCAAGAACGTCCGTTTGATAAAGATGAAGGATAGGTCAAAAATAATCTTACCTCGGTCGTGAGAAACAACAAGGAGGGTATTGGGCCAGCTCTTTAGATAGTTCTCCAACCAAATAACAGCAGGAATATCCAACATGTTTGTAGGCTCGTCCAGAAGCAGCAAATCAGGCTTGTTGAAAAGAGCACGTGCCAAAGCCAAACGCATGCGCCATCCTCCAGAGAAACTTCTCGTTGGGTTTTGGTGCTTATCCGGAGTAAAGCCGAGACCTGCCAAAATGGAAGCAGCACTATCGTCATCAAAATATATATTCCAGTTAGATCAGATTATATTCTAATCAAAGTTTTTTGTTGTTGTTGTTGTTGTTGTTGTTCATCTCTCAAATATCAGAAATATCAGGCATATCAGAGCATGTTGTCAATAAACAGATAAAGCTCAAAGACTTACCGAGACTCTGCTTTATCGGATTCAATGGCCTCCAACTTTGCGTAAACATCTTTAAGATCCGCCAGGACCTTTTCACGGTCCTTGTCGAAATTCTCATTTGATCGTGTATCGTCTTCGGATTGACCCTTTTCCATCTCAACACTCAAAGCGTTCAATCTCTTTTCTTCTGCCAGCAAATGTTCACGCCACTGATCCGCTGACAAGACAGCCTGGATAGCAGGCACATCATTTCCAACCATCTATGTGGATGATCCCCCAAAAGAATTTTGACAAAAGAAAAAGAGACAAAGAGAAAAAAAAAAAAAAAAAAAAAAAAAGGGTATTGGAAACCATAAGCATTAGGTATGAAGAACAAAAAAAAAAAAAAAAAAAAAAAAAAAAAAAAGAGAAAACTTTGTATCATCATCTTTCTTACCTCCTGCTCAACATGAAGAATACTAATGTGAGTAGGGACATTTAGTTCTCTCCTGGAGAGGGTACGCAATAACGTAGACTTTCCAATACCGTTACGACCGACCAAACCATAACGACGACCAAAGGCAAGAGTCAGGTTGGCGTTTGTCAAGATACGTTTTCCTGCAAAAGAGATATCAAAGTTCTCCAGCTTGATATCCTTGCTCTTGCCCTTTGTGGAGGTATAATCCAGAATGGGGTTCACAGCCATGAAATCGACCTCCTCCTTCTTATCCAGCAACTTACTGGCCGCATACTCCACACGGGCAGCCCTCTTGGCCATCTTGGCTGCGATCTTTGCCTCTGCCTTCTCCAGTTTCTGGGTGTCGACTTGGGACAAGACCTTCCGTCCGGAGATCGACTCTAGATCAACGGAACGGGCGCCGATCTTGCCAGTGGCCGAGACTGCGTCCTGACTCAACATGTGGATAGGTTTCTCCAACAGCCTAGCCAATCCATCTGATCCAGTACTCTGACTAGCGTTTTTGTTTTGTTCCTTGGCATGTGAGGCAAATAAGGTCTCGAGACGACTGCATAGAGCATCGATGGCCTCGGGCTCACCGCCTGCATCTTCAAGCAATGGACGAACGAGTTCTGTGATGGCATCCTCATCGTCGCCCAATGTCGAAACAATATAGTCAACGATCGCATCATCTGCATCTGGCACGCACCCACGCACCATGCGTGACATCTCTTCCTTGCTGAGTACAGTTGCAACCATGGTGAACAAATGGAAGCCAATAAAAAGAAAGGAAAAAAAAAAAAAAAAAAAAAAAATTAGGGAGGAGTAAAGAGAAGGATGAGAGAGGATGTCGGAGCGAGTGACAGGGAAAAAAAAAAAAAAAAAAAAAAAAAAATTAGCAGTGCACGGCCATTAATTTATTTGTTATTATTTTTTATTTTGGAGATCTGAACTCACGTGTAGATAATTTCAAAAACTCCATCTGATCCACTCGTTACTCCAACACGTCCATTCCATTCCAACATATCCATATACATGTTACATGTACCTACCCTTACATGTCCAGCACAGACAATATGTATATAATATATATATATATATAATATCTGTTTGGGTATTAAATAGCATTTAATGTTTTTTTAATCTTTGTCGTATATAATGACCTTCATTTTGAACCAAGATCGATCTCCGACATGTAAAATTGCTGGCCGTTATTGTGTTTTGTAGCCTTTGTACCTTTTGAGCATTGTTTAAAAGAAAAAAGTTAAATCCATTGTGTGTCACCTGGATACTTTCGCTCTGCCATGTTGCCACCAAAAATTTGAAGCTGTGTTGAAGATGAGCATATATTTTGAACCAAGATTGATCTTGTTGTGACAAGGATCTATGGCGAGCGGTGGAAGTAGTGAATAGGATCTTTGGTGTGATAAACGTGCTGTGAACCTTGATGATGGTAGCAGGACCATCAACAGTATCAGCCTCAATACCAAGATTAAGACCAAGACCAAGACCAAGACCAAGCAAACAAGGAGCGGTCATCAGCATAATATGTACTTTAACATAACGCTGATCTGAAAGAATGAAGCGCTATTGCTTTGCTACTGAAAAAAAATAAAAATAAAGCGCCATTGCTATTGAAAAAATCGTTAGAGATGAACGTGGTTGAAAGAATAAAGGAAGGAAAGGAGAGAATGTGTCTGTGCGTAGCGTAGAAAAGACGAGTGTGTAGAAATAGCATTGTCCATGTGAGAGAGCAGAATAGCAGAAAGAAGAAAGAACGAAAAGAAAGAAATGCGATCGAAGCAGTGAAACCCAGTAGGACAAATTTAGACAGGGGGAGGCTCACAGGGGACAACAAAGTGATCCGATTTGGAAATACAACAAAGTCTGCTGGACAAACTCTTGCACTATTCTAGCGACATGTTGTATAGAAATATACAGATATAACATATACATGTATAGTATTGAGCATCACTCTCAAGCCTATGACTATGATATGACATGGAATAAAAAGATGTATGAATAGCTGATTTCTTTTTCTTTTTTCATTTCCCATCTATCCATCCTTCTTTCATCTTGTTCAGAATGCACCAAAGGATGCTCTAATGACTTCACTTTATCAGACGACTAGCCTTCTCTCTCTCCTCCATGTGTTCTGTACAACCATCGAAAAATATATAGAAATATATAGAAAAGAGAGAAAAGAGGAGCTAGAAAGATCAAAAGAAGATAACGCGTCAGATTGCGCTCAGTATGATAAACTAGACAAACATGACATGACATGACATGACATCTGGTATATACAGTACAGGGTAAATAAATGATGACAATCAGATCAGATCTTTCGTTTCTCGAATTTCTTTTTGCTTCTGCGATCTTTGTGCTACGTTCATTCGTATATGTAGATATCTCGATATCTCGGTAACAACATTTTTAACTGATACAATGGTGACGATTGAGAAAAGTAAAAATAAAAAATAGAAAATAGAAAGCAAAGGAAGCGAGAGAGAGAGAGAGAGAGAGAGAGAGAGAGAGAGAGAGAGCTTGATAGTGACTATAGACTTTTTTTGACTGATGCTTTTTATTCGCGTCAAGAACTAGCAAAGTGAGTGCACAGTTGTAGTTCACATGTTTTCACCTCTCTCTATTAATATATATATATATATATATACCAAAACCAGTAATGCAGCAATAATAGAACCATGAGGACCGTTAAAAAACAAAATAAAATAATTCGACATGTTTTACCGCGACAATAATAGAAACAGAGCCAGATAGGCAATGGCGTAGATGGAATTAATAAAAAAAATAAAAATAAAAATTAGCGGGTTTCTGTAGTTTTACTACTTTGCATACATATATATATATATATATTTATATACTAACATGTATTACATCACATCCCAGTGAGTGAATAATGTACGGCGCATGTGTTACGCCAGAGAAAACCGATAAAACCGTTTTTTTTTTCTTTTTCTGCATTGCATTGTGGGGTCATAACTTCTATTCGTTCTCCCCAAAATAGGCTGGAGGTCACTTTTTCAAAGTTACCCAATGAGAAAAAAAAAAATCCTTTTCAAACTTTATTCTACGACAGCCGTTATTTTTTTTAATGGACCCATTCAATAAGACTGACTGGATAAGTAATACTTGCTCATTGTCCTTGCCCAGGTAGGGTTCTAGGTCTATTGAAATTAGTCTAGAGCGGTCTAATCTAGGGCTTTTGAAAAAAAAATAGAGAGAGAGTCAAGCAGGGGGGGGGGAAGAATGCACATGTATATACTGTACGTTCCTGGACTTGGATACAGATTGGGTGGATGGACAATTATGTTGAGCAAAAAAAAAAATTAAAAGGCATGAATGAACCAATATGGTGAAAGGAAAGGGGTCATGGTCCATAACAGATACGGATAGAGATGCAAAGTAAAGAAAGAATATGTTTTTCTGGCTATTTTTGGGTCGATGGAGCATAAAAGATGTTGCTTCACTTGCTTGATTAAGAAAACAGGGCTCTGATATCATTCCTTTTGGACCGTTACATTTTTATGCGCATGCACAAATTATACTGAAAAAGAACCCCAGATTGCAGCAAGTTGTTCTCTTCAATATATATATGACATTATATATATATCGCCAATTTTATTTGGTCACGATACCTTATATTTTAATCTAAAAACGATGATTGAATTGTTCTGGTGGCATCTCACTACGTGACGGACTTGCAACAATACTCGTAACAAGCGAGCTAATTGGCTGCCAATACACTCGAAAGTATTCAAAAAATATAAGGTATCGCGACCAAATGAAACGGGCTATACAATACTTCATAGAGGTAATATATATTTCTATACCATTCCTAGCCTCCAAAAATACTTTTAGACTTTGTCTCTATACAATTTAACCGGGTTGGAATTGAACAATCCACCTCACCAGCAGATTTTTTTTTTTTGTGTAAAAAAAAAAAGGGTAATACTACAATGTCTTAATCTCGAACGGGAGAGAAGCGAATGTCTTTCAAGGGTCTTTAGGGGAATAGGAGGATGAGACGAGACTTTATCGGGTACTATTATAACCACATTGATATTAGTGTCCTATCAACTCAATTAAAGGATGCCACTTCCTCTTCATTTAAGGGGGACATCAGCCTTAGGCAAATAGTATATAGCACAGCATAGCTTAACATAATGTAACACACTTTAACATAGTATAACATATATATATAATATAAAACACCATAACATGTAGAGCATAACAAATATAGCATAACATAATGTAATGTTTTGTCCTGTCTTGCCTTGCCTTGCCTTGTCTTGTCTTGTCCTGTCTTGTCTTGTCTTATCTTGGCTTGGCTTGGATATGGGTAACCTGAACAAAATTGAGAACACATGTCAATTGATAATGACAATGGGATGAGACACCTTCCCAAAAGCCTAATGGATGCATGGCCAATGATGTATTGAAAGGAACATAAACTGCTCCTAATTGGAGCATTCCTCAGGGTAAACCAACGTTTCTTGCCGGGGATCCAAAATGGAAGACCTCAATGAGAAATTAAAAATAAAATATTACATGTAAATATATATATATACCAAAGTAATATAAGACATATAATATATATATAATAGTAAATAAAAAAAATACGAAAAACTATGGGATGCAACCAACCAAGTTTCAATTGAATCAAAAACTCTATTGCTTTCAATACCATTGTGTATTCTCTCATACTCTCTCATACTGGCGTACTACCCATTCATAGTTTGGTCCTGATCAGGTATAAAAGCGGTCGTTGAGGAAGCCGTTTCTGTTTTCTCATTCACAACAACAACAACAACAACAACAACAACAACAACAACAGCAACAAAAACTACTACTTTCATCTTCCTCCTTTCCACTTCTTCTTCTTTTTTACCTTCAAAAGTAATAAAAAACAACCAAACCAAAAATGATCTTCAACAAGTCTATCATCGTCTCCACTGCTATCGCTGCTCTCCTCTCTGTTGCCTCTGCTGGCAAGGCCTCAGGCAAGGTCAAGGGCCAGATCGGTGCCCTGGTCGACAAGGACAACTTCTGCATGTTCCTCCCTCCTATTTATGGCGGTGAGATCGCTGTTCACGAGGATGATGCCGTTGCTTTCTGCACAAAGCCCATTGCCGCAGCCAAGGGCGCTGGTCTCCTCCCTCCTGGCTTCATCAAGTCTGCCCACTTCGTCCGCAATACCCAGAGCCAGTGGGTCCAGGTCACAGGAAGGATGGACGGCTCAAAGTACGGCCTCAAGAAGAACGACGGTGGTGGACAGTACGATATCAAGGCCCCCGTTGGCTCCAAATGCGCTGGTTACAAGTACTATGTCGAGTTGGTTGAGCCCGATATTAACACCTACTGCTTCCGCTGCTGCCAAAACAAGGCTGACTGCCCTGTGAACAAGTCCACCTATGGATGCAAGAAGGTCCTCGGTGGCAACTATGAGTAAAAAGAACGAGGAAAATCCATTTTTTTGTTTAGATCCACAATATACTATATATACCAGTTATCTTAATAGAGTAAAATAAATATTAATTACAAAAAATTAAAAAAAAATGCTTTAAGTATTTGGTGGCGCTGTGAACTTGTATATACAAATGTGAATATGAATATGAATATGAATATGAATATGAATATCAATACAATCAACATATGGCGTATTATTTTTGTAGACACGTTCACCCCAATTCATTTCTCACACCATTCACTTAAAAAAAAAAAGAAAAGAATCAGGACAACATGAATGAGTCCACCATCACTGAAGCAGACAAAAGATTCTTCCATCGCAATGGATTCTTGATTAAAGAGAATGGTAAAAACAAAAAGACCAGTATCTATTTCGCACCTCACTCTTTCCTTTTTACACGCAAATGTAGTTTAGAGATACACATAAAAGCTGACTTGATACTTCTGTTCAATGCTTCAATGCATACAAAGCTTTGGCCCCTGAGGAAATTGGTGTACTGCGTCGGGAGGCCGATTGTCTTTTGAACTTTCTCATGTCAGAGAATGTGGATATCATGAAAGATCTTGGTGGCATCATCGGTAAGGACCCTTACTTTACATCTTGATTGAAATGGCGTCACTTTAGTTCCCCCTTTTTTTTTTTTTTTTTTTTTTTCCTTTTCTTTTTTAATAATCGCGTCTCTGTGCATTGGTCAAATAGAACCGATCCCGTGTGGATATATTGACCCCCCAGATTCGCAAATGTATATCCTGTCCAAGAAGGCCTACACAAACATCAGGAACAGAATCACGGAGGAACCTGATACAGTCGTGCCTGTGCTCTTTGGAAAGATACCAGCGCTTGCAAGGCCTCTCTTCCCACCCGAGACTCGTGATAACCCATTGTGTTTAGTAAGAAAATGGCATCGTTGCCTTCTTCTCTATATTGCTCGATGGGTATTGAAGCTTATCCATTAACAATATCGCATCCCTATCTTTATTTTGTCCTCATCTCATCCCTTTACAGTTCAACGAGCAGTATATCATCAAATCGCCGAAAACGAGTTCCACTTCGTCCTTTGCATGGCATCAAGTAATCTATAGACTTTAATGGTTTCATCTTTTGTATTTTCAGCTCTAATTCCTTTTTTTTTTTTTTTTTTACAGGATTCACAATACATGGACCCTTCTGCACAAAAGACCTTTCCTATAATTTCCTGCTGGGTAGCCCTTGATGATGTGACTATTGTAAGTTTATATTTATAAAAGAAATATTTCTTGTATCCTTGGCAGATTGCTTCCTTAAAGCATTAATTGAACTGTGTGTATGTGTGTATGTGTATGTGTTTTTTTTTTTCTTTTTCTTTTCAATAGTCAAACGGGACGTTACTGATTGAACCATTTCCAAAGGTGTCAACTGGTGACCCTTCATTTGCTGCTCTAGCCGAAAATCCGTTGGATAACATAGAGAGTTATCTTCAGTATTTTCAGCATTTGGCCTCATGCTACGGCCCAGAAATGGATCGTGACAAGGCCATGGCAGAAGTAAAGGCTCAAAAACTCACCCGAGGGCTTGAAGGGACTCGACATGGAAATTTAATCGAGATGGAGAAGCAGGAGTACCATAACGATGTTCCTCAAGGTGAAGGTGCAGGCGAAGGTAGCCGTGGGATCTGTAGAGATCCATATGTTTTGGTTGAGGCCCCTGCAGGCTCCATTGTATTTCTTTCTGGATTTGTAAGGCATTGTAGTTTCGGGAACGCGTCCTCGACTTTTAGACGAGTCTTTATGCCGCAGTACTCGATCGGCAAAGTCGAGTCTGAAGATGGAGGGCTTATATCGCTTGCAGTTCCGTGTTCGGATCATTTGCACGGATAGAATGTGTACAGAATGACCATAGTTGCCAACACAGCATTAAAGAAAACCCAGGAGTGTGACAAGTATCACAAAAAATAAAAAAATGAAACGTCAGCCAATCATTTTACCAAACCAATAGTCCTGTGCCATTGGGGCAATATTAAATGAGAAACAGTCACGGGACATTCCTCTCTCTATTACGCGCCTCAGAGTCTTTTATCATCGTTACATCGTGTCATTGATCTGGGTCAATCCAACAAAGCGTTATTACTTGAACACGATGACAGATGGGGTTGATTATCTTTTCTTTTTGTTAAAGCCCTTTTCTTTTCTTTTCTTGTCCTTCTTGTAATTTGAACCTGACAGGCTTTTGTTTTTGTTTTCCTTTATTCTTTATTCTCTTTGTTTCCCTATTTTTTTGTCCTACACCCTTTACACGCGCACAAACCAATTCTTTTTTTTTTATCCTCTCATTTTTATTGAGACAGTGTCATCCATCCATCATCTCTTCTTTCATCTTTTTACCTGATCAACCCCGTTACTCCAGAGACATTGGCTCTGATGAATTATTCACAACCATCTACCCCTACCATGCGCCCTGCGCAACCTAATCCTAATCCTTCTCCCCGCCCTGCCTTCAGACCTCCCCATCCACAACAACAACAACAGCATCCCATCTCAAGACCAGGCACTCCCGGTGGTCCTCCCGGAACACCGGGTGGATATAGACCCCCAATGAACGGCCCTGGTCAACGTCCACCTAATAGTCCCATGGTCTCTCCCCGTCCTCCCTTCAACGGTGCTATGCAAAGACCTCAATCGCCAACCCAGCGTCCTCCAATGTCCAATATGCCCAATGGTCCTCCAGGTGGAATACATTCACCTGGTGCACCGCTCCAACGTCCCCCACCTATCGGAGGCATGCATGGATCTTCGCCCATGATGCGTCCCTCAACCCTGTCTCAACCCGGATCGCCAGGCATGCCTCGACCATACCAATCACCTCAGATTCAAGCAAGACCTCCTCCGCCAGGCCAATTCATGGGCCAGAATCAACAGATCGCTCCAGGTTCTCCTGCAATGAATCCGGTAGGATACAATGGCCCACCTAATCTAGCCATGCAAGGATATGCCCAAAACAGGAGTCAGCCCCCAACACCAAAAATGCCACATCAGCAACAGTATCAACAACCACAGCAGCAGCAACCGCCCATGAATCCTCCTCAACAACCTCACCAGAACCAGCAACCGCCACAGTTTCAGGACCCTGGTGTCCCCACTTTTAGTCCCATGAATGGTGCTTCAACGCCTACTTCACATGCAGGCACAGGCGCCCACAAGCCAAAGCGTATGTATCCTCAGGGCATCAACTCTTATCAGGATCCTGTCGCTAACACCGGATTCCAGCCTGCTACTGTACCGGGCGTTCCTCCACCAACGGGACTCAATCAATTCCAACCTGTAGATCAAGGGTCACAACCCTTTGTGCCTGGTGTGGATCAGGGATCTAACTTTGGTCAGCCCGTTGCTGCATATCAACAAGGACTCCAGCCTTTGGCGGGTCAGCCTCTTCAGCCTAATATGAACCAGCTGGCTAATCAAATGGGTGCCATGAATGTTGGCCAAGGATATGGATACAATTCTGCAAGCGGTCCTTCTGTAAGTCTCTTTTTTTTTTTTTTTTTTTTTTTTTTTTTAAAAAAAAATAGTAATAATAATAATACAATCCATGTCCTCAACATGTGTGTTGATGGTCGATTGATACTACAAAAGATGCAATTGCATCACATTATTATGTATTGCTAACAGATATCCGTTTTCATCCTTGTACGAGTAGCTTTCGACAGTTGCGCTTATGGGAGTTGCACCTAGAGTTACGGATCTGGATACCTCACCTCCTGCTATTATTCTTCCTCCTAATGTAAGGCGTGTTTATCTTTTCATAGTTTCTGGTTCTTCAATGATGAGCATTGTCGCTGTTAAGCCTTTTATTTTTATTTTTATTTTTATTTTTATTTTTTCTGGGTAACAATGGATAACATTCACTGACACTTTTTTTATTTTTTATTTTTTTTATTTTTTTTAATGCTTGTATTGCATTGTCCATTAGTCATCAATCACAGAGTCTCCCCACGCCAATTCTGACCCCTCGTACAAGAGATGTACACTCAACGCCATTCCCAACAGCGCTCAGCTTTTGCAAAAGTCCAGACTTCCCTTGGGTCTCGTCATCACTCCCTATCGCAGCATTAAGGAAGGCGATGTAAGCCATGCCATGTTTTGAATCATTTCATCATGGGGATAATCCCTGTTCATTTTTCAATATGAGGACACTAGTATATGTTTACAACTTTTTATTTTTATTTTTATTTTTATTTTTATTTTTTTTGACAATGGAACTACAAAACTTTCAGGAGCCCGTACCTGTGGTCACAGACTCGATCATTGCACGTTGCAGACGATGCAGGACATATATCAACCCTTTTGTCAAGTTTGTTGAAGGCGGTCAACGATGGAAATGCAACATGTGTTACACACTCAACGAAGGTAAGTTAACGAATGCGAATTCACTTTTTTTATTTTATTTTTTTTATTTTTTATTTTTATTTTTTATTTTTATTTTTATTCTCTGCTATATAGTTTCTTATATCTTTTCTTTCTTCCTTTCCTCTTTTCTCTTTTAAAAATAATAATATTAATAATAACTACGAACTATCAGTGCCTTCGTCCTTTGATTACGACTCACAAACTCAGCAACCCGTGGATCGTTGGCAACGCAAGGAACTGAACCATGCAGTCGTCGAGTACATTGCTCCGACAGAGTACATGGTTCGCCCTCCTCAGCCTCTAGTTTACTTGTTTGTCATCGATGTATCCTATCCTGCCATCCATAGCGGCATGGTAGCAACAGCTGCGACTACTATTTTAGAGTCTCTGGACAGGATTCCAGACGACGAAGGTCGCACCAAGATCGGAGTCATCACAGTGGACAGCACTATCCATTTCTATAACCTCAATGTAATTTCTTTCTTTCTTTTCTTTTTTTTTTTTTTTTTTTTTTTTCTTTTTTTTCCTCTTTCTCCTTCAAAAAGAAAGTCTGCAATATGTCAATTGACATGACTAACTTTTTTTTTTTTTTTTTTTTTTTTTTTAATCAATAGTCTGCGTCAGGAGAGCCTCAGATGCTGGTTGTTTCAGACTTGGAAGATCCATTTTTGCCTCAGCCTCAGGATCTGCTTTGCAACCTCAAGGAGTGCCGCGCTACTCTTGAAGCTTTGTTGACTAGGATGAACGACATGTTCAAAGATACACAGAACGTGGGCAATGCTTTAGGACCAGCACTCCAAACAGCTCACAAGTTGGTATCACCCATTGGAGGCAAGATCCTGTGCTTGCAGGCCAGTCTGCCGAACTTGGGAGCTGGCGAACTCAAAAAGCGGGAAGATCAGAAACTGTTGGGCACCTCTAAGGAATCGACCCTACTACAGGCAGCGTCATCTTTCTACAAGACAATGGCAATCGACTGCTCAAAGTCTCAAGTGTGCGTAGACATGTTCCTCTTTGGATCCCAATATTCTGATGTTGCAACACTGAGTAAGTTTTCCAAGGTTGTGAGGCTGATCCTTTGTAGACTGTTAATCCTTAGTTTGAAGTCTAAAACACTTGTCTCTTCTCTCTCTTACTCTCTCTTACTCTCTTCTTTTCCTTCCTGCTTAACCACTAAGGCTGCCTCCCACGATACACCGGTGGAAGCACGTTTTTCTACCCTGCGTTCACCGCTGCAAAATCAGAGGATGCACTCAAGTTTGCACACGAGCTGGCCGAGTTCTTGTCCCAGAGGATTGCATTGGAGGCAGTGATGCGTGTGCGTGCGTCAAAGGGATTGCGGATGTCGGCATTCTATGGAAACTTCTTTGTGCGTTCGACCGACTTGCTCTCGTTGCCCAATGTCCCACGCGACCAGTCGTATTCAATCGAATTGAGCTATGAAGACAATCTGAATATCCAAACTGTTTGTTTCCAGACTGCACTCTTGCACACGTCCTCCTATGGTAGGTTTTATCAGTGGTTCTCGACCAAAGTTGATATTTCTTTCTGACTGATGCTGAAGCCATTTCTATACTTTACTACTATTTTTAATATCTTGAATTAATTGGCATTGTTTTTGTTGCATGTTTTGATTCCTAGGCGAGCGTCGTATCCGTGTCTTGACATTGGCCCTGCCAGTGACGAGCAATCTTTCGGATTTGTTTGTCTCTGCAGATCAGGTTGCAATCTCGACATTGCTTGCGTGCAAGGCCGTTGAACGTGGCATGAGCTCAAAATTGGAAGATGCTCGTGAAGCATTGATTAACAAGTGTGTGGATATCCTGGGTGTCTACAAGACACATATGACGGCTTCATCGACTGGTGCAACCCCCAACTTGCAAATCTGTGACAACCTCAAGCTTTTGCCGCTCTTGACTCTTGGAATGTTGAAGCATGTAAGTCTTTTTTTTTTTTTTTTTTTTTTTTTGTTTTTAAAAATGCCATCCTCGTCCAAAGAAAATAACGAATGGTTGATGTTAATCAACGTTTTTCTTTTTCTTTTTTATTATTTATAGGTGGCACTTCGTGGTGGTTCTCAGATCCCAACAGATCTTCGGTCATTTGCTATGCATCTATTCTCAACATTGCCTTCACAATGTCTAGTTCCATATGTTCATCCCAGATTCTATTCCTTGCATAACATGCCAGAGAATTGTGGCACGATCGGTGAACATGGGATTGTTATGCCCCAGCCTCTTAATCTGAGCAGCGAGCGACTGGAACGTGGTGGTTTGTTCATGTTGGAGGACTCACAGAACATCTTTTTGTGGATTAGTCGAGAAGCTGTTCCTCAGCTTTGTATGGATCTCTTTGGTGTTCCTAATTATGAAAGCATTCGTGGAGGAAAGGTAAAGAAAAAAAAAAAAAAAAAAAAAAAAAAAAGAGGGGGAAGCTTTGTAGGACATTTCTTTTTTTTTTTTTTTTTTTTTTCATGATGGATGTCGATGTTTGCCTTGATGTGAACTAACATTTAATATCATGGTAAAAAAAAAAAAAAAAAAAAAATAGATGACCCTTCCTTCACTCGAGTCAGATTTCAATCAACGTGTTAACTTGATTGTAGGAAAGACTAGAGAGATGCGTAGATCAGCGTACTATCCACAGTTGTACGTGATCAAGGATGATGGCGATCCAGCCTTACGTCTCTGGTTCATGAGCCATCTGATTGAAGACCGTGCAGACCCTGCTATGAGCTATCACCAGTTCTTGGGTCACCTCAAGGACAAGGTAATCTAAACCAGACCAGGAAAAAGAAAAAGAAAAAAAAAAAAAAAAAAAAAAAAAAAAGATGCATATTTTTATTAATGAAGTCAATGAAGCCAATGCTGACAAATACTGACAAATGTTGATATTTTTTCACTTTATTATTTTTTTTTTTAAAAACATGATTTCTTTTTTTAGGTCAATGCCGGTTCATTCTAAACGATATCTTCTTTTTTGTTTTTTCTTTTCCTTCTCTCCTTTCTTTTTTTTTTTCTTTTTCTTTTTCATAACTAGTCCTCAGCAAATAACAATATAATTCTCTTTTTTATATACTTTTTTACTTTGTCGAATACCGAGAAGAAATCTGGACTGGGTATCCGACCCTGATATCCGACCAACTTGTTTTTTGTTTTTGTTTTTGTTTTTGTTTTTTGTTTTTATTTTTATTTTTTTTCTCGTAATAGAAGTTATAGACGGTCTAACAGAGAGGTATTAAAAATATAAAATAAAAATGGAAATAAAAATGAAAATAAATCAAAGACGGAAATAAACATTAAATTAAAATTATATATGGATATAAAAATAAAAATTAAAACTAAAATTAAAGATGGAATAAATTTAAAAATAAAATTATAAATATTTGCCCTTAGTAAAAGTATGATGTATATATATATATGTGGTATGTCGACTGAAGGTTCGATAAAAGAATAGAATCTTTTAAAGTTTTCTACAACGAAGAGTAACCTCAACCCCATAATAAACAATATCTGTCTGTATACAAGGGTATAAATCTCCATCAGTTTTATAGAGTAGGGCAGAGCAGAGCAGAGCAGAATAACATCTTGTGAGCTATTTGATTAATGTCGTTCGCATACGCGATCCAGTTTTATCAATCGTTGCTTGTGGAGGTCCTAAAGGAACATTCAACACTTGCTTAGCATTCCGTTTCCCTTCTTGAACATTAAGCGCAAGAACCAAACATTGTATTCTGATGAAGAGATATTATGATTTTATATAGCCTTATACGAACTATTCATTCTTGTGCGAGGTATTTTATTAACTGATTTACAAAATTGTGCCATTCATGAGACTCTGTTTTTCATAATGAAGCTGTCATACGAAGTATGCTATTGAACGTTGGCCTGAAAATATATAATTATGAAAGCCTTGGGGATGTTGCTGATGTTGACGTTGATGTTGATGTTGAAGAAATATTGAAATGGTATTCACCACAATCGTCCTGGGAAATCTGTATCCCGTTCTGCAGTATTCTTCGGCTTCTATCGATGTGATTCCAACTCAGAGAGTTGTTGAGTTGTTGAGTTGTTGCATTGTTTTCTCTTTAGAGTCTTTGAGTGTCTTTAGACAAAAAGCGATACTAGAGTATATATACAAAGAGACATTATTCATTAGTCACATTGTTGCCACTAAAACTATAATGTTCTTTGTAAGGATATGTATATATATATGTTGTTCGCACAATCAAGGCACAACTACGTATGAGTCTGAAGGGTATCCTATTAGAGAGCCTAACCTTCTCTACACCACGAAAATGATGAACAGAGACGCCCATGATCGTGATAAAGTACACAAAGTGTCTGAAAAGTAAAAGAATACTGATAATGCACAAATAGCCAAGAGGGACCCCAGAATGGATGTACTACTGCCCCCTATAGTATTAGTAGGCTAGAAGGAAATACGCATGCTGTATTCACAGTACAACACACCATTCGGCTCTTAGAATCTTACTTTTATCATTTGTCTACATGTGTGTTCCATCGTGTCGTGTCGTGTCGTGTCGTGTCGTGTGTGTGCTAGAGAGAGAAGAGAAAGGGAATTAAAAAGTTGGAGCGAACATGAATACGCTTAGGATTACTGCAAAAAAAAAAAGTTCGTGGAGGACACTATGATGTGGCTCTCTTTATAAGCAAGTATGCACCATGACCGATAAGAGAGAGAGAGAGGGGCATGTCAAAAGAATAAACTAAAGACCGGAAGCACTGCCGCCTTCAGAACCTGTGAGTGCACTAAAGCTCTCCATATATATATTTTCAGTCAAGGTCCGCTGTAGTATGAGTTGCTCGCTCCTTGCTCTCTTATTGCAAGCGAATTATGGGGGTTGTTATTAATTTTTTTTAACGTTATTTCAGTAGCCATGGGCTCTATTGAAGACTAACACTCACTTCATATGGACTATAGGCGAGCTCAGTGAAGGCCATTAAAGATCGAAATAATAGATAAAGAAGTGAAAAGAACAAAAGACGCAATTAAAAATGAAAAAGTCAAATGGTGATTGTCTAAGAGATCCTATGTTTGTCAGCTTAAGATGGTGAAAAACAATTTTTATTTCTTGGCCAACACGTTTTTATGTCAACCTTGTTTTTAGTGTTTGTCTGGAAAAGAAATATCTCTAAAGCATGGCAAATGAAATATATAATTTATATATGCACAATGAGATAGTACAAAAAAACACAATTGCTTGAATACATGTCGCCCCAACTTTTATTCTCAAGACTATAAAAAGCCCTGTTGATTTATTGGCAAAGAGAGTGAACTCATATAACCAGACTCTTTAAAGGGATAGGCACAACTAAGTGATAATATATGGATGGTGTATACGAGGGTAAGAAGATAAAAAATAAAACAGAGATCCTGCAGCCTTGGATTTAACAATGCTGGAACGTGAATGTGGAAGTCTGACAGAAGACGACGGGTCCGTCGCCATTGGTGGCGGAGAACTGAAAGATGTAAGGGATGCCGTAGGGTACGGTGCTCTTGATCGGGAAGCAGACCTTGACTTGGGTAACACTGGTAGGAATGGGACAAGGGGTCCCGGAGTTGGCCAAGAGAGTGCAGAGGTCGTGGGCATCGCTGTAGATAATGCGGTTGAGATACTTGCCTATGATGTTAAGCTTAGCACCAGAAGTGATTGGGTGCGAGAGAGCTCCAGTCAAGGTGATACAGGCCTCTTTACCAATGCAAGGAGGGATAGGGTTGAAAGTAACGCTGGTGACGTTCAATACAGTTGGGCGGGTAGCACAGTTGGTGAATACGGGCGGAGGCAGTTGAGCCGAGGCAACAACGGCGAGGAGGAGAGCAGAGACGGCAAAGCTGAACTTCATGGTGGAGAGTATCCTTTCTGTTGAGGTTAGTCCTGAGCGGCTTGGAGGTACTTGGAACGGAGGGAGGATCGAGCGGTAAAGAACAAAAAAGGACAGAACCCATCTGTTTTTATACGCAATGGGAATAAGAAGCCGTTGAGAATGAGGCTCGCCTCTTTCTCTCTCTTTTCTCGCGTAAAGCAAATACAAGTGTATATATCAATGTAATCATGCACTTGAAGCAATGGCAGTTGTAGATTGGCGTGATTGGTGGCACAGAATGCAACTGCTGTGCTTGTGTACAAGGGGCAGTGGGCGCAGGGTGAAAGGCATTCACATTCTACACAACGTACAAAGTATAAAGTGTAATGACACAAACAAATAGAATCAATTATGATGACAAAAAGAAAAAGAGAAGCAATCGACAACAACATGTGGCGCCAGTCTCAAATAGAGAGGACAGATGTACAACGGTTCTCACATTCATCAAGCAAAAACACCCCAATATGTACAAATATATACAATGTTTCTAGTTAGAGCTGACCAAGTCCAAATAAGTCTGCACTTACTTTACCAAGTTAATAACAATGGAAAGACCAACATGTAATTAAAGTAGATTGAGATGCCTAAGAGTGCGTGAGAAGGCATGTGAGTCCACCTTATATCCTGCTGAAGATTCAGTCATGAAATGATGTTCATGGAGCCGACTTGAAGCGACACAAGGCTTTCGAATGAAGTTCACTCCATGCATCAAAAGAAAAAGAAAAAAGACAGACCAAGAGAGTCAGAGTCTTGATTGCAATGGGGTAGAACAAGGGGCTTTAAAACAAAAGAGTATTGGTAACTATGCATGAATATACAAGGAGAACCCAAGGGTGGATATGCACAATATCAGTAGGCTTGAAGAACAAGTTTTGAATCTGTCGCCAATACATTATATCCGCAGTGGAACATATCATGCGACTTTAGAAGTACTGCTCTTGTCAGTGAACATATTATGGATGTGTTTGTTATGGCGTGTGTGTTTGTGTTATGGTGTGTTATGGTGTGTTATGGTGTGTGCTGTGTGCTGTGTGTTGTGTGTATGTAGGACAGAGGAAGGAATCAAGTTGACGAAAACGAGGGACCATTGCGAGGGAACTCTTACAAGAACTTCAACATTACCCCAAAAACAAGTTATTGCATGCACAGTGATCACAATAGCTAAAATAACTTTTCAACCTTCAGAATCTGTGAACAATCTGTAGACTAGTTACTCTATATATCCAGCCAAGGTCCAATGTGATGTATGCGCCCCTCGCTCCTCTTTTTATGATACGTGAATTGTGGAGGTTTTAATATTACTTTAATAATCATAAGACCTATAGTAGACATATATTCTTTTCATGTGCAAGCTAAGCTAAGACGATTAACAAGTGAGCAAGAAAAAGACGGATATGGCATGCAGTGAGGCTGAAAGACCAGAATATACAATGAATAAAAAAGCACAAGAACCAGACATTTTCAGTATTCTAGTGAAGAGATATTTTGTTTCTATATAGCCCTATGAGAACTATTCATTCTTGTGCGAGGTATTTTATTAACTGATTTACAAAATTGTGCCATTCATGAGACTCTGTTTTTCATAATGGAGCTGTCATACGAAGTATGCTATTGAACGTTGGCCTGAAAATATATAATTATGAAAGCCTTGGGGATGTTGCTGATGTTGACGTTGATGTTGATGTTGAAGAAATATTGAAATGGTATTCACCACAATCGTCCTGGAAGATCCGTATCCCGCCCTGCAGTATTCTTCAGTTTCTCTCGATGTGATTCCAGCTCAGAGAGTTGTTGCATCACTTTCTGTTTAGAGTCTTCGAGTGTTTTTAGACGACTATCGATACTAGAGTATATGTATAATTAGCCTTGGTTAGTAAATTCATCCCTAATAAATGTTACAAAAAAAACTCTTTTTTCTTGCTTACAGAGTGTCAGAAAGTGTTTCCGGTTTCCGGTGCAGGGTCTAAAAACATTTTTTTCGTTTTCGTAACGAGGATGGGCGGAAGAAGAATTGCTTTTAGTGACCTTCCATGTTGACTTTTTTTTTGTTCATTAAGCTCCATTCAAAATCCTTTTTTTTTTTTTTTTTTTTTTTTTTTTCGGTTCGAGTCTTTTCGTACAGTCATGGACTGATCAGGATCATAATATTCTCGATAAGCGTATCCCGCAAAGTAACACACAGGTACTGCTGTCATCAACATCAAGTAGCGTGAGCTCATTCTTTTTTTTTTATTTAACTTGTACGTGTGTGTATGATGGTTGTGGAGATCAACTTTTACAGTTTACACAGCGGCAGCTAAATACAGGCAGTCACGTGGTATTCATTGGTCACATTTTTTCTGTAGAACTTTTGCCACTAAAACTGCAATATCCTTTAAGTCCCAACTCACTTCCTCCTGGGATCTTCACAATGTTGGTAGTTATTTACAACAGTTTTTCGATGATAATAAAATCACAAAAATAAAATAAGAATTAGACTAGACCTTCTTGCAGCAGAAGTCTAGAAGCCGCTTTTTTTTTTTTTTTTTTTTTTTTTTTTCGCGTTCTTTTCAAAAAATGGAGTTTGATATTGAAATAGATCAGGTACATGACGAGATGTAGCATCAACAATTTTTTTTTTTTTTTTTTTTTTTTTTTTCAAAACTACAATCCCTCTGTTGGTGTAGGAACAATGATAGGGGTTCCTTCATTCACGATAGTGACATTTCCCTGCTGACAGAAAAGGGTGTGACCGTTGCCGTTGGTGGCCACATAATCCAACTGCTGGGCCTGTATGCAAAGGGCAATGGGCATAGGAATGGGAGGTATTCACATTCTACACAACGTACAGTGTACAAAGTATAAAGTGTAATGACACAAACAAATAGAATCAATTATGATGACAAAAAGCAAAAGAGAAGCAATCGACAGCAATGTGTGACGCCACTCTCAAGTGAAGAGGGCAGGTGTACAACAATTCTCATATTCGTCGGACAAAAACGCTCCAACGCGTACAGATGTCTAGTGCTTACAGTTAGACTTGATTAAGGTCCAAGTGTGTCTATGCTGTCATGCCTCTCTAATTTTAATCAAAAATAGAGAAGCAAGGTACTCAAGGTATTCTATCCAATTCAAAAATATATTTAAACCTCTGTAATTTGAACTATTTCTCGATGTTCTTGTTTGATTTTTGAGAATGTCTTTTGGAGTGAGAAGGATGGAGTAATGCAATATCGTAATGTCATGTCACGACGGCGACAATAAAAGTTTCAGGTCAAATTACAGAGGTTTAAATATATTTTTGAATTGGATAGAATACCTTGCTTCTCTATTTTGATAAAATATCAAAATTAGAGAGGCATGACTGTACTCACTTTAGTCATTTAGCAGAAATGGAAAATAAAAAGTAGAATTGAGACGCGTATACGTGTATGGGGAAAAGCAAACGAACCTAAACTATGTTCTGTTAGAGGTTTGAACTGGGCATGATATCGACGTTGCATCCAGCTCTTGAGGCCTAGGTCATATTCCAATACGCAATATGGGGAAAAGGGACAGAGGAAGTGAAAGATTTGGAATATAAGGTGATAATGAATCATCGTTGTCAATATACATGTTTACATGGCCTCAATACATTCATAGTTTTAACTACAAGGCTATTTGGAAGTTTATTCTTTTATTCTCGAAGACTGTTGCCTTCAATGAAGTCACTGCATACAGTGACGTCTATTCTCGCCTCCAGAGTGTGTGCCAGTAGTGTACAGAAGTCCGATTGACTGGGACTTATCCTGCAATGCTCTTGTGGATAACACGGCCTTAATACTAACCTGGATCGAGCTGTTTTTGCCTGTACAATGGAGATATTTGGCAGGCCGAGTTGTAGCGAGTCAACTACAGTAAATCCTATCGTGTGATATATAAGGTATCATATTATGTATAATCCAGGAACCAGAATTTGAGTGATCCCATTAATGATAAGGCTGATAACACCAGAACTAAAACATCAAGATCTATTATGGCTCTCAAGAAAATGGTAGTACGCTCAGACTATTTTGGTATAGAATCAAAGAGAACCTCAAGACAAAGTTATAAGGAAAGGCCAACAAGATTCTAGCAGTGGTTATTGTAGAAGCTGTAGCTGGATGTAGTCTGACGGAACTGAAGTGTCGTTGAGATGGGTCATGGCTTTTAATACAGTCTACGGTTATCATCCTTATTCCTGTTATTTTGTTTCTTCGCATTTCTTATCCTCTCATATATTCTATCTGTGTACAATAGCAATGACAGCAATAATAATAATGGTTGTTCTATGTAAAGAACTTTGCGACAAAAAATTAGAGTCGTTTGAACATTCATTTTCTAATAATATCGGTTAATGGAGTGAAGCCTCGTGAATTGGCAAACCAGTTCTTCAGACTTAATTTAATCCATGATGTGATGATGCGTGTTGTCGAAATTGAATCAAGGGAGAGTTACCGTTGGTGAAGGAGCAAAAGTTTAAAAATATAGATAGGAAAACGTATAGGAAACTCCAGTTTTTATTACGAAATGCTTTACTCTTTTAAATCGGTTGATATGGGTGACTTGGTTGCAGCAATAGGTTGCTCAGTGCTTAGTGTAGACATCAAGGGCATTGGAGAATCCATCTCACTATTATTCGCACTATTGTTCTCACTAGTATTCCCTGTCAAACTCAACTTCAGTCGTTTTTTTTCTTGGTGTCTCTTATTCTTCACCTCTGTAGGAAGGCATTTTTGACGTTGCATAAGCTACATATTCACAAGTAGGAAAGGAAGGAAAAAAATGTCAATGATCAATATGATCACGGGATATTCACAGAAACACAATAAATAAAAGGATGTTACTTACAGTAGCGTACTTCTTGCCCATAAACATGCGTAGATCACCACCAAGCGAAATATTGTTTTCTTTAGCGGCATTTCGTTGAGCGTATTCGCCTAACAAGGTCATATCTCCTCTCTCTGGAAGATTATGCAGCATGGCCTTGTCTAATTGTTGCAACATCCTCGAATACATCAATGACTTGGTCACATAACATGACCATTGATCCTCCATTGCCCGATACAGACGTAACGGTGTAATATCGCTCACCAGATCAACCTCGTTCTGATATTGCCATTCAACATTCTCAAAATGACAGTCGTAGAACACAAGAGGCAGATCAGAAGCCATGTCGTAATTGGGCTTTGCAGGACATTGTTTAATATCCATCATTTGATCAATCACCTCAGGCTCCTCTAAACCTTGTCCAACTGCAAATAACACAGCCATCATACATCGCACCTGATGCCACAAGAATGCTGACCCTCTGAGCGTCAGCTGATAAAATTCACGACCTTGAGTCATTGGGAACTCATGTTCAGGAACAGTATCGATCGAGATGGCCATAATAGTTCTATCATAGTTCACAATCGTTTTGGAGGAATCATACTTGCAAAAATTGCGGAAATCATGTGTGCCCAGAAACTTGGTCGCTGCTGTTCGCATCCGATCAATGTCAATGATACCCTTTGGAAAGAAATATTTGTATTCACGCCAGGCACAATGGAATCGAGCATTAAAATCCTCGGGAACAGGTGCCCATGCAACAATGCGGATATCGGGGGGTAAAAGCCTATTGACAATATTGAGATAAGCCAACTCTCCAAAAACACTTCCATCCTTGTTCCGTTTGACACCATTTTTGTAATACACGCCTGCTTTGCTCTCAAGTTCCTCCTGAGTTAATCCTTCAGATTTTTCTTCCTCTGCTTTGGGATCATACCCATCGCCCTCAGAGCGGATTACATAAGGCGAACTCTTCGGTAGGGCGGACCGGACTGTCAAAGCAATAACCTGTCCCAGTCCACTAACTCCTCGGTCCGTTCTCCCACAGCGTGAATAGTTGCAGTTCTGTGGATCTTCAATAATCCTAGCCGCCAAAAGTGCGTTGAATAATTCAGATTCGACAGTCTTGACATCAACCGCGCCCTGAGATGCAAAGCCAGCATAAGGCCAGCCAAAGTAAGCGATCTTGAAAGCCACATGCCGCTTTGCATATTTCGAAAAATCAAACGGCCGTCTGTCCTTGCGCTTTGGGGTCTCGATAGAAGAAAAGGATTGTGCTGGTGAATCTGGTTGGGAAGAAGGAGTGTCTGCGCCGGAAGTCGTCTCTGATCCTGTCAAATGTGCAGGAATAACTGATATGGACGATGATGACGCTGTTATCGTGCCTTTTGCGGCCTCCAATTCTCTGATTCTTTGTACCAAAGCTTCTCTGGGCCATGTTGAATACTTGTCGACGATACTGCTACTGGATGCGAGCATGACGGCCGTCTCCCCTTCCTTATTCCTCCGCCTACGCTCTGCTTTACTGAATTTACTTTTGAGACGGTCCTTATTGGTAGGCATCTTGGAATCGATTATTTGTTGATTATGTATGTTATTGATTGCTAATTCCTTGACGTTATTTGAAGGAGCGTACTTTAAAAAGGGAGTATTGTCACGCTCCGGTATGTGGGAAGCTCTTCTATGAAAAATATATTTTCCTGCGTAAGTCTGGCAAGAGGTTGAAAAGAGAGAACAATGATGCTTATGATAAGAGACTAAAGCAGGATATACGGAAATCGACAGATGTGGGTGCTGGTGGACGAGGGAAGGGACCTTTGAAATAAAGATAGAGACAAGCTGGGTATGAGTGCTCCTGCTGGTACTGCTGCTGCTGCTGTTGAGACGAGAAAAGAGCATTCCTCTTCCTCTTACAATTTGCTGATCCAAGAGATGAATAAAATAAAAGATCCAGATCTTGAACCAGATCTAGACCATTGTTGAAAGCTTTTTTTTTTTTTTTTTTTTCCTTTATTGTGACAACTCTTTTTGGTGGCGCAAGAAAACTTTAAAACATTTTATTTGAAACTTGAGGAAGACAAAAGATGCCCATTTACTTTTACTTGAAAGCTTTGGATGAAATAAAGCACCCAAATAGCTTCTTTGATCCTCAGTGATGCTCATGTTCAGGATGCACTGGATGCTCCAAGTTCTCTTCTGCCCCTGTGGCTAGTGTCACGGCAGGGAGTTCTTTCTTGTTAGCTTGTGCATGCGCCGATCCATGTGTCTTGTGCTTGTGTTGCTGGTGCCCTTGGTGACTATGCGAGGATGTATGCGTATGATCCTTGGAATGATCTTTACTCTGGGCCGTTGATGCCACTGTACTCTCTCGAAAGTCATAATGGTGTGGTGTGCTGATGTTCTTGTCTGCCATGGTGCGTGATTTTGAGTGTTTGGGTGTGTATGTGTGTTGGAGGAAGTAAAAAAGGAAGATGTGTGAAAGTCGGACTGAGTTTAGTACAAAACCCTTGGAATAAATGATGTCATGATGTCGTGCCACGAAAACGCAGGATCGTGCCATATTCCAATTCGCTGCTCTCATTATTCGAGCTTATTCGTGCCTCTACAAAAAGTATAGACGACACGTGCTGGCACATCCGTCTTAAACTTTTAATCAGAAGGTCAGAGCATTCTGTGACACTCATGGCGGGACCTTAATAAAAGGCTCCCACCTGGTAACAATAATTAGAACAGCTTTCGGTCTCCTTACAATTGCAAAATATCTCTCTCACTCGCTCGCATATGTTTATCTGGTCTGGTGTACAGAAATATTGATACTAAAACCATGGTTGAAGAAACATTCAGCTACAAAGTCCTCCTTAAAATTACACTAATTTAATAAAAAAAATAACGGTTGCTTATGCTTAGCAGCGACTCTTTATCTGGTTTAGGTGATCTTAAATTAAGAACCAAAGTATATGAAGCTTTAATAGACGCAATTACCGACCATATTCACGGTGCAACGAATGCGCTTATATGAACTCGTATAGCGATGGCGCAACCATGAAGACAATAAAAAGTCATTTGAGTACGAGACAGCTGTCTATTGTCGATAAGACATGTTATAATACTTCAGTATATACATACTACATCTCTGACAAGAAAAAGAAGCATTCAGTGTCAGATTTTGGTTGCTTCCAAGATAGGAGTATCGGTATTGCTTAGAAAACTGATTTCGCTTTGATTTGTTTTAGTTTCATATTCTTTTCTTTGTACCCTTTATATCACTAGCTTCCTCTTTCAGTGTCAGAATCACTACCCTCACCTCCGAGGTAACATGATAATCCTTTTTTTTGTTGATGGTACTATTGCATACTGTAATTATGGAGGTGTCTTATAGAAGAACTCCTACATACATCGAGGCTGCAAGGCATACATTATAACATCTAAACAACTACCAGGTCATAGCTCCAGATCAAATGCTTCCTTTCGAGCTTTGTCTTTTAACTATAGTTTGTATTATGTACATGATGTTTTTATAACCTTTTAATACCGATCCATCTTAGTCGTTCAAAATTTTGTATTATTTTGATTCATAGAGGATGCAACTGTCATTCGGAACCGGTCGCGAAGCATTTGCACATCGTTTTGTGTGATAAACGAAAAGTCTGCATAGGCCATTTCCAGCAACTGGTCCATCCGCCTCATACCATTCAATGAACAAGTTTCCTTGTCACCCATCATCGTTTGCAAGACTGTACTCTCCTTTTTCCTATTTGGATGCAGCAACAGCGTCTTTTCTCCTTTTTTCGCTTGGTAATGACCTTGTCTTTGAGATTGTTGACGATCTGCCGAGTCTGCATCAGTATCTGCATCCTCATCCGAATCTACTAGTCTGTCACGATACAACTCAGGGATCTCAGGGTCCTTGAAACTCCTGAAGAAAGACTGAATCGTCATCACAACCTCTTCATCATTTTTACAATGTAAGAGTAACGATTGACAACTCTTAAGGATAGCCAAACCAAGCATAAACAAAAATAAGGGACCTTCATAAAAGAAGCAATCCAAGACTCGAGTCGCTACAGGAACTGGGAAAGCTGATTGAAACAAGCAGAGAAACCATGGCAGTGTGATCGTGGCTTGATCGAAATCAATCGCGTAAAAATGACCAGCAAGGGCTGGTAAAGATATCCCCATCAGGTGTGAAAACACTTTTTGATCGACTTGAACACCAAAAAGTGTCTTGGAATAATAATCTGGCAAGAGCTGCTCACAGAGAGTGGCCAATAGCCAATATGCATCCTCCTCTTTGAGATGAAGTAGGAAGACTGATGCAATTATGTTCATGGATTGAGCATACCCAATCGATGGGTTTCTCCAGGAATAGCTAAAGAGAACACGTCGAAGAGCTCCCAATCCAGTAGCAGATTGGAATGCAGGATGACCTGGCATACTTCGCATCACATCCTTTTCAATTTCCCCTAGGACTGAGGAGACTTTTTCGGTACAGGCTTGAAGGTTTAATCGATAAGAGTCGTCGCCAGATCGAAAATACGAGGCGCCTGAAAGCACCATCCATAACTGCGGACGAAATGTCTCGCTCACACCATCGAGGATCAGCCTTTGCAGCTTCCTAGTTTTGACCATGCACATATCCCTGCCATAGAATGCAAAGTAATCAACCCAAGCGCTCTCAATGTCCAGTTCGCGCTGTTGATCTTTTTTATTGAACGTTGCCTGCGTCATTGGATACTGCAGATTTCCATCAGAGCCCTCCAGTTCCATAGCAAGGAGATGTTGAAGTCCTACCTGAAGCGGTGCTGTCCCATCACAATCTGTGTTGCCACATTCATCCACAAGCGTATGATCCTCAGACTGGGATGATGACCAAATGGAACTAGTAGTACTAGGGTTGCGTCGAAGGATGCTCTGGCTTGTTTGGGTTTCGAGCGTTTTGAGCAGCGCTGTAGAGTGCCCAGTGGCTCGCAGAGCCTTACTAAATGCATCGTACAGCTCCTGGTTACTACCATGCGCTCGAGTGAACCAAAGAGCGAACCGAGACCGTAGGATGATCATGACGCCCATTTGAGGTAGGCCTACGAGGGACATAAGGCTCGCCAGTGTCTGTTGATTAGATGCGGAATGAAAGAGGCCCCCCCCTGTTCCCCCCATCTTATTGCTGCTAGAGAAGCTCTGCTCGCGCTTAATTTCCAAAATTTCGGACAAAGGTATAACAACCATTAGTGACGGCGTGGGTATTTCAGCCGAAGATGCATCAGATGTCGATATACCTGGGGTAAGTGATCCACTCATGTAACAAATGAAATTTTGGGACATGTAAACTGTACCCTCCTGAGCATCCGCCGTCAACCTTGTCTCAAAGGACACAATGAATTCTTCAAGTGGTGTCTCTGATGGTGGAAGTCTGAATAAGGAACGAAAGCGTGCTTCCTTTTGAAAGGTCTTTAGATCAGATGTAGAATTGATTGAAAAAGCGATAGTAGGAATCTCCTTGGCTTGAGAAGATACAGATTGTGATTCTACCATCGATGGTTGTTGTTTTTGACTGTTGTGACCAGGTTCGCCATCTCCTATGCTTGAAACAAGGAGTCGCATATAAGCATTGCAAAAGTGTGTCAGCATATCCAAGATTTCTCGTTGATGAAATGTCGGAACGAATATGCTCTATTGGAACCATGCACAGAAGTGCATTTTTGTTAATCTGATTGTTAATAAAGCTGTAAAATGTTAATGATAACAGACATGCTGCTGTAAATACTTTTTGTATACGTGTGTTTTTTACCTTGTAGGCCCTTGTAATGACGACAGCATAGCCTTTTTGACCTTGATGTTCGTTCTCTATTGCAATAACGTCCTTGTATGCTGTTTTCGTGCTTGTAATTGAACTTGGATCGTAATTGAAGTTGAACATGACTGCAGATGCGTCCAATGTCTTGTCTGTTATCGGAGAATTGTGCCAGCATACGTAATTCTTTGTAAGTGCAATGTGTCCTGTCAATAATACGCCGTCTTCTCGAATATAACTTGAGCGGTAAACTAGTCGAGAGATGAATATATATATATATATATATATAAGTTAAGTGATAGTGTCCTTTTTTAATGGAGGAGAAAAAGGGTTGAATGGAAAAGTAGAATAGGTAAATCAAAAAATATGTTCTACTTACAGCACAACAATTCTTCGTTCACAAACCCAAAAATTCGATCAAGTTCTGCGCTCATGATGGCTTTATCTTGGTCATGATCTAAGGATACTGTTATTACAAACCGCCAGCAGAAAAATAATATAGAATAAAATGTCGTGTCAATGCTCTGTTAGATACAATTAGAAGATTATCACGTTTTCGGCATAAAGCCTCCTTAGTGTAAATAACTAACATGCTTCGCTGAGTCTGTCCAGTTCATAGATCCACTTCCTATCCGACTCATTTTCATCTCTTCGATTTGATGCTGCATCCAATTCTAAATCTGTGATCTGTAAATTCAAAAGAAAAGGTGTTAATAACTCGCACGCTTTTTTTTTTTTTTTTTTTTTTTTTTTTTCCTGGCAACACTGATCAGTACTATCACATACCTTCGGGAACACTGTCTTATGGATACAGTCCCAATCCGCTCGAATAGCAGATTCATCCAGAGCAAGAGCCACCACGTAGTTCTCATGTGAACACTGTAGGACAATTCTATGAGTAGCATCCTCCATTGACACATTCTGCTCTTCTTGTCGCACTGAATGGATCATCTTTTCTAATGCATTAGAAGTCGGGATTTTGGTTGCAATCGATGATAATGAAAATGTGCTTCCTAATGATGATGATACAGATCTATTCAAAGAAGGAAGCTGACGAAGTGATTTTTGAGTAGCTGACGTCCCTTTCTGGACATTTTCGACAAGGCTGTTGAAAAGGAAATCTCCAGCAGAATTTAGACTCATGCTTGCTCTATGGCCAAAAGATGCACGACGTTCAGACATTGATAAAGATGCAGATGTGGACGTAGATGTAGATGTAGGATTTGTTATCGTCGATAGCGATGATTGTGATGTCGTACGTGGAAACAATCTCCTGAACGAAGAGGTACTGACGGTTGCCGAAGATGCCTGTTGTTGTTCATTCGGGCGCAGCTTCTGATCATCTTTGGTCTCTTCTGGCAGAGCCTGCTCATGCAACGTTGGCAGAGTCAGTGAAGGTGAGGCTGGTGATAACGGTTTTTGTGAATCACCTGTACTGGATGCAGCCCCTATGCTGCTAACAAACCCCAAAGAGAGCCGTCGAAGTTTCTTGATCTGCTGAGCCGAGAGTAGTGGTATGGAGCGTGTCTGGAGGAGGAAGCGGTGGTTGGCTTCGTCATCCTGCCAGACGACATTGTCTGGATCCGTGGAGGGACAGGGCAAAGGCTTGATGATCATATTATTTTAGTCCTGTGAATTGAAAGTTTATGTGCTCTGTTTGAATGGTCTATGTCGTCAGATAAAAAAAAGATAGAGCTTGAAAGTAAAGAAAGAATGAATAAATGAATGAAATAAAGAATGAATGTAGAAGCATCCTCATCCCATTGTGTGGCCCCCTTTATCCTCACATGTCAAAATAAACATGAAAAAAAGGAGTCAATTCGTAGATCTAGGTGATCATGCATGTTTTGATAAACTGAAAGTCAGGGGCAGGAGAGAGTTCATGTTCAGTACTCAAGACATGACCCACGGATCGCTTCCGTTGTCATGTCCATGACGTACAAGGGAACGTGCTTGAGAAAATGGTTTTTTTATTCTATTTTTTAATTTATTATTTTTGAGGTGCCGTCTATTTGTGACAGATCCCATTGTCATATTTCAGCAAAAAAAAAAAAAAAAAAAAAAAAAAAAAAAAATGGCTGAGCTAACGACGGGCAGTCTGTGCTAGTTTTCCAATCTGTCCTTTTTCCTTGTAGTTCCTCTGTTCTCCATCTCATCTTTTTTTTTTTTTTTTTTTTTTTTTTTTTTTTTTGTATCTCTACAGTATGGTAGAGTATCTCCCACACGTAACGCCATTCGCCTCTCCCTGATAGCCTTCTCTGTCCTGACACAGGATGATCAGGAGAGATTAAAAATAGGGAGAGGACAACATAGCGAACATACAAGGGTCCTGAAGTTACCCCGTATGGGACATCTTTAATCATGGACAGTGTTTGATGCTGACTGACCCATATCCAGCATCTCATCCAAACTTCGGTGACGGGAAAGTTCTGTCAATACAGTTTCATCTACAGGGATAATTGATTTCCGGCGGAATTGATGGAATCCTGCGCCATTATTCTCAAACGTTTGCAATTCACCACTATACAAATCTTGGTCCACACCACCCACACTACCATCATCATCTACTGCCATGTCCGCCAAGTCATCTTGTTCATCTGAAGCTATTTGTTGTTATGACATATTTTGTGTCAGTAAAAAAGAAAGCTGTAGATATCCATGCTATATGCTCATTCAGAAATGGCAATGGAAGAAATATAGAGTTGCGCAGAGCATATTCTGATCTTACATAGTGGCGCCAAGCTTATTTCTGTGGAAGCAAGGGGCACAGGAGGCGGCGCGGTAGTAACGGCTCCTTGTGCTTTCAAAGTATCATAGTTATCCGCTGCCTTCTGTTCTAGCCGCTGCCAAAGCTCTTCTCTCTCCAGCATTCGTTTTCGATCGCTATACATATCATCAAATATATGTCAAAATTTGTTCTCGTCGTTTATTCTTTTCATTGTGAGCAGAGATCATGCGACTTACTCTTGACGGGCCTGACGATAATGATTTGTGCATTCTTCAAATAGTTTAGGGGTTGCGTCCATGAACAGCTTCAATGCATTGAAAACGAGACCATGGATTGTTCTAGTTTAAGAGAATACAATAATTTATTAATCTGGTTATTTATCAAACATATGATATGATACAACAAAATGGTAAAATAATACCAAGGATGAAATTACCTGTTCCAGTGTGTTTTGGAGTTTTTATAAAGCGATTGGAACATGATCGGAAGGATTTCATTTGCATTGTCGTGGATCAGGTTGACAATATACTCGTTATTCCAATAATACAATGCTCTTTCAGCAACCTAAAAAAAAAAAAAAAAAAAAAAAAAAAAAACGGTTAAATTAAAATAACAAGAAGGTTAATAAACGTAAACATAGTTACTCCAATGTTACCTGGAAGTGCGGGCTGGAAACACATCGTGCAATTTGTGTAAACAAAGGTCCTTCAATTTTAACAAACTCAAGTGGCTCGATCACATCCAAGATTTCCTCGATTTCGTTCAAGAACATGACTTCCTTTGGACTGTTCACTTTGGGCCAAAACCGTAGTAATCCATGGATCACCTACATGAGAAAAAAAAAAAAAAAAAAAAAAAAAAAAGAATGTGACAATTAATGAATAATTAAGTAGATTCTTTTATATCCTTGAAAAATAATAGTAATTTGTCATGTATCGGGCGTTCGCCGTTGACATTTCCAATTCCATGACCATACCTCCTCTGTTAATGTCGGATCTTTCTCCAAGAACTGGACTACGCAGTAGGCTAACTGCGGATGATAGAGTGTCAATGATTTCACCTTGTGTAAAGGCAACAAAACTTTGGTCAAGAATGTCTTATGCTCTTCCTTCAAAGGCAGAGCAAACCCGTTAATGATGCTGTTGGTGGTACAAGGCGCCACAGATTCAGAGAGGCAAAACGAATTACGCAAAAATTAATTATCGTAACACAGAACTATCATTTGCTTTGCTCCACTGCACTTTTTTTTTTTTTTTTTTTTTTGGAGTTCACTCATATGCTTTGTTACCTCCCCAAAATTTCAAGGAGCTCTGCAATGCCATTGTGTCTTTCTTTTTCATAAATGAACTGAAAGAAGACGTTGTTGATTGATCGTCGGATGAATGCCCGCAAGTTGAGAAATTTGCCATAGATACGATGAAGAGTTGTCTTTAAAAAATCACGCTCACGTGGATCTTCACTGTCAAACAGCTCCAACAACTGTTAAAAATAAAAACAAAAAAATGAAATTAGTAATAATAAACTAACTTGCTGCTCGTTCAAGAGCTATACATGAAGATCAACGGACTGGTGGCAATATAGTATCATACTTGGAGAATGAAATGATGGTCAATATACTTTTTCGCCATGTTTGTGTTAAATTCCTGAGACTCGATGAAGCGGAGGAAAAATTCGTAGACAATCTGAAGATGTGGCCAAGCCAGTTCCAGCACCGGCTCATCCTCTTCAGGATCAAAGGCATCACCAGATGGATTGACTTGCGGGGGTATTGTCCTGAAGAGATTTATTGCAAACTTTGAAGAAGAAGATTTTCTGTGTCAGATCAAAAGTCAAACCACGTTATATCCATACATTCTTTATAACAAAAAACGCACCATGTTGATCACAGCTGGATAGACTGGCTCCGTAATAACGCCTCGATTGTTAGTGATATAGTCCAGAATCTCAATTAATGCCTGGCGTTTAATTTCTTTGCCTGTGAGCTCTGAAGAAGCATCATTAAAATCAAAGATGACTGTGCACTGGGCAATTTTCTTCAAGAATAACTCCTGTCGGTCTATCTGCGCCACTTCTATATCAATCCAAGTAACAAAAATAACAAAACGAAATAGTAAGAACGATCAGAACTTGCTAGTATGAATTTACTTTTGAGTTGCACTCGTCCGTTTGAAATGTCCCCGTTTCAACTTCTTTTCGAGATACTTGCCATCTAGTGCTTCCAATCTTTCCAAGGTGACACGCTCTGTCACATGAAACCGAGATGAGCGTTGTCGACGGGGCGTTTTGCTGATCGGAATGGCATCCTTGGGTGCATTTTTCATCCTATTGATAGGTCCACTTTTTGGGATCTCTTTTTCGCCAGTTATTTTGTTAAATTGTCCTGCAGGGCTACCAGGGGATGGCGAACTAGAGACCAATGCTTCTTGTAGATAATGTCTGGGCTATGATCGGGTTGATCATGGAGAAGGAAGAAGCAAAAGCAAAGTGAGAGAGAAACGAGGTCAGTGCCAACGTAGACAAAGACTTTTTCACAGACAAGAGAAAAGGGACCTAAAAAAGGGGAAATAACCAAAAAAAAAAAAAAAAAAAAAAAAAAAAAAGGCCAAGGAATAGAATTGATGCGAGCTCTGGAAATGCGTTTACTGTTGAGTAACATACAGCTTCGGTATTCATGATCACAATCGTAGGAGGGTTATTTCGGTCATGCTGTTGCTGCGGTTGCGGTTGTTGCTGGTAAAATTGTTGTTGTTGTATCTGGTTCAGGTTTAAAGCTGGCTGCTGTTGTTGTTGTTGCTGTAGCAGTTGTTGCTGCTGCTGTTGCTGTTGTTGCTGCTGCTGTTGCTGCTGTTGCTGCTGCTGTTGCTGTTGTTGCTGCAGGTCGTTGGTTGCAGCTACGTTAAAATGGTCTGGATTATTGTTCTTGCTATGAAGATTATGAAGGTTGAACGTACTACCACTGGCATTCTGGGAAAGAACAGCAGCAGAATCTCCACTACTCTCGGATTGCCCGTTGCTAGTGTTAGAGTGAGTAGGCTGTTGCTGACCCGAAGCCTTGACGATATCATTGGGTGCGCCTGATGGCGAGACAGAGGCGTTGCCCCTTCCCTTCTTGTTATCGGAGTTATTGGATGACTTTGTCCTAGAAAGAACACCTTTGAGGCCTTTCATGATACACTCTATGCTAAACTATACTCTGTGGGATGGGAAAAGGATGGGAAGGAAAGGATAAGAGAAAGAAGGATATGAAAGAAAAGGGAAGGGTAGGAGCTTGAATAAAAAAAAAGGAACCGTTACGTTTCTAAAATGTGAAAGGGAAGGGAGCACAGGAGAAAAAGAGAGAGAGAGGACAATTGATTGTTATTTGTGGCAAGAAAAAAGAGCGAGCAAGTATGCCAGTCAGTGCCCAACCAACCACAAAGGGGGAAGGGGAGCGGAAGAGTGAGAAGGAGAAGAAGGGGATCAAAAAGAGGGATCAGGATGCGATGGCAAAGAAAGATGGATGGTGAATGGAAAGGAGAAATGATGACGGGATTGACTGTCTGAGTAAAAATAGTAAGACCCAAACAGAGAGGCAATGAACGATGGACTATGGATGTGTGGATACTGGAGGAAATATGAAATATGGGATATGGAGATTCAATAAAAGTGATCTGCCTGCGTTTTCTTAGATTGGTAAACAGACAGAGAACTGGACAAATAGACCAGACAAAGAGAAATGAGAAAAATAGACAGCACTCACACACATAGAAAGAGAAGTGAAGTAAACTGTCCACCTCCAGGGAGAACAGAGAGGAGGACGACAGAGAGTTGAATGCAGGAGAAAGCAAAAAGAGAAAGAGAGCGTTTTTGTCTATTTCTTTCATTCTTTTTCCAGGTTCTATTTGTAACTAAAAGAGAAGCTGCAGTTGTGCGTTTGCAGTGTTGCAGTATGGTGCATGCATGGTTACATCTCCAAAATAAAATAAGAGTGATTGTCTGCTCCGCCTCTGGATTGGATTGTATATTAATAAATAACCATTCAGTGGCCTCTATTATAAATACACTTTTGCACTACACCACATCACACTCCACAGTCCATGTCTCTCTCTCTTTTAGGGCAATGATCAATCTTTGACGCTTCGCAATGATACACAACCCTTAATAAATCATCCTCAATCTCAGTTGGGCAGCTAGCCCAGACACATTTTAGTCGGAAGGAAAAAACATGTTTACGCAAATGCCTGAATACCATACGACTGTGTGTAGCGCAATCGAGTAATCGAGGTATCCTTTTAGCTTAATAACCACCTCTTTAGTAAAGAAGCATTACATCCTCCTTTCTATCAGATGCTGTGCGTCGTTTAATTTCCTTCTGAAAGTCTTAAAAACAGTTCTGGATAACGATCCGTCACTTTATTGTGGATGGGGGGGAGCTCATTAAAATGTCGAGATCGTTTAGAAGCGGAGCTTGGTAAAGAACCATTTGTTCTTGCCACTGTTGTATCTGAAAAACAAAAAAAGAAAATGTGTTTGTAAGAGATTCTTAATAAATAAATGAAGATATATATTTTAGTATATGGATCTTGAGACCTACCTCTCCTCGAAGAGCTTCTTGATGGCCTTCTTAGCCTCCTCACGTTGAGAGGGCTCCTTGAAGGAGTCAACGGTAACAGCAGATTTCAAAGACTCCAACTCCAAGCCATAGCTAGTATTACAGTCGATTTTGTATACAATGGGAACTCGTAACAATGTCAGTTCTGTTCTCTTCCAGTTTTTTTTTTTTTTTTTTTTTTTCCTGTTCTTTCTCCATTCCTTTCCTTTGATCCTATAATATAATGGTTCATTAAAAATTAAAATTGACGCTGTATTGCGTTCAAAGTGAATTACCGAGTGGGCATGACATGGTTGTAGTTAACGACTTTAATGAAAGGCTTGACCTTGGAGCGCTTAGCAACGCGCTTCTTGCCCATGTTCTTGGTGATCTTGAGAGGGTAGCGCTCGACACCGGCAACAATGGCATGTCCGTAGCCGCGTTCCTTGGAGCCTTCATCGATATGTAATTATAGGAAAAGCAAAGCAAACAAAAAAAAAAAAAACATAAAGCAAAACAAGCATAGGTCATACGAATACACACACATGCTTCCAATGCGAGGAAACAGGCGATGAAAATGAAGATAAAAATATAGATAATATAAAGTCCATAATATCCAAGTTAAGATTCCTGGTTAATGAGCTTTTTGAGCTATCGCCTCCCATGAGTTGACTAGTTCTATAGTCCCTATTGTTTCTTTTTTTTTTTTTTTTTTTTTTTTTTTTGCGACAGATGTTGATCAATGATATATAATCCTTTTGTTAACGATTACTCAGACACTTCCCAGAGTATTAGAGTGATGTGTTTAACTTTTATGGCTGTTTTCGGATAAATTTCGTATTACTGATGATTTCAGTTATCCTTGAAATAGTTATTGACTTTGTCCAAAGTTTCTAGTGAATATTGATCCGCAAGTGTTTCCATCGAACAAAAAAATTGTTTAAATCTGATCCTCTGTACGACTCCTGAGATAAAACAAAAAGTCAAGTTATCCTGGTCCTGAAAACCCTGTAAACTTCCTGGTTTTACCATCTCAAGGTTGAATTGAACTCCACATGCACTGCATGCATGCAAAAAAAAAAAAAAAAAAAAAAAAAGAAGAAAGTCCAAGAGTTGTTGGTTTGCTATTTTTCACGATGACGGCCTTCTTGCCAGCGTAACGGCCATTAAGGATAACGACAACCTATTAATGACAGATTCCGGTAGTGGATTTTGACGGTTGTTAGTGATAGATGTCATGATCGATGGATACCGCTAATCCATTGCAATATGCCTCTTTCTTCCACGCCCTAAATCCATTCCGCTCTTTTTCGAAATGGTTCTCTTTCTCATTCTAGATCACGTGCCTTTCCAGACTTGAGGAATCGAGGCATCTCGGTCAAAAAAAGATTCGAAAAAAGAGGGAGATCAAAAAACACTCACTGGTTGAACAAAATGGTTTTGAATTGAGAATCAACCAAGTCACGAGGCAAACCGTTATTATAAACCAGTCTAACAGCTAAAATTCATTTCCTTTTCCTTCTAAACTTCATTATAAAGTCAGCATGAGTGCAAAAGGTGCGCCTAGAGAAAATTGAGTGGTCACTGAGGGGGCTCCCAAGAAAGCCAAGCACTGGATACATGGAATAGATCTATTGTAACTTCCATCCAACCCATTGTCATATCCATCAATCAGCATAGCATGCGCCACCTGGATACATCTACTCTAACAATCAAGTCATCAGTACTATTGCTTTGTTGGAAGTGGTTTGCTTGATATTACCAATTTTATGTCACTGCTCTCGTAATGTTGAGAAATAAAACAATTACAAAAAAAAAGCTGGTCAGGATCGATTTATTACATGGATTTCATGGCGAAACTATGATTCATGAAGGACCCAACTACTTCTGACGACATGGGCAATTACTGGCGATAAGAAGACTATAATTCATCAGATTAAAAAGCAATGGACTAAAAAAAAACAGCAATGTCACTTTGTTCTACGATATAAATGAATATTAGGAGGGGCTTCTTCTGGAAACAAATTCCGTATGACTTTGGGTCTGCCTGTTGGTGCTGTTATGAACTGCGCCGACAACTCTGGCGCTAAGAACTTGTACGTTATTTCTGTTAAGGGAATTCACGGTCGCCTTAACAAACTCCCTGCCGGTGGTGTTGGCGACATGGTCATGGCAACTGTCAAGAAGGGCAAGCCTGAGTTGAGGAAGAAGGGTGAGTGGGAGTGTCAACAAAGGGACAACTAATGTTCACTAGGTTACTTATCGGTGATCGCTGTTTCTTATATCTTTATGTTGGATTGGGTTTGCTTTTTTTTTTTTTTTTCTTTTGTTTAGTTATGCCTGCTGTCATCATCCGCCAGCGCAAGGCCTGGCGTCGTCGTGATGGTGTCTTCATCTATTTTGAAGGTTTGTGCCAAAAAAAAAAAAAAAAAAAAAAATGCCTTGTCCAAGATTACTGTGTCATATGATGGCAGACTGATTTGTCTTTCTTTTTTTTGTTGTGAATGTATCAACTAGACAATGCTGGTGTTATTGTCAACCCCAAGGGTGAGATGAAGGGATCTGCCATCACTGGTCCCGTTGGTAAGGAGTGCGCTGATTTGTGGCCCCGTATTGCTTCCTGTGCTGGTACCGTCGTCTAAATCTCAAAATATCAACAATCCATAGAAAGCAATAAAAAAAAAAAAAAAAAAAAAAATACTTAAAAGGATAATAAAAGAATAATATTTATAAAAGCACGCTCCGGATGTCCTTTGTATTTCTTGAAAGTGTGAACGGCCCATGCTCCTGACATTTATTATTTCCAAGCGGATTGCACAAATTGCACCCTTTTCTCAAACATCTGCACGAATCAACATAGAAATCCACCTCTATGGTATCATATGAGAGAACCTTTGATGGACACCATGCATGCAAGGAACAAAGGTGTTTCTATGATACATGTTCAAGTTGTGATAGGTCAGAGATAGTGAATGATCGATCTTTTTATCGAAAACACAAAATTATTTGCTTCCAGCATGGTAAATGTTCTTTCATTCCAAATCTTACAAAAAAAACTGATGCACAAGGGTTAAAACTCAAAAACGAATTTAACATATTTCTCCATCCTGTCTCTTTCTTTCATATCTTTCCCCCTTCACCCAAAAAGCAATCTTGGCGACTCGAGTGACGGGGGTTCACCCAAACGACTTTTTTTTACTTTTTTTTCCTTCACATGTCCGTCCTTTCGCGGATCCCGGGCATAGCCTGGTTCGCTTCTTTTCTCTCCACTACATTGTCCATTCACACCAACCCAACATTGCGCCGTTACCATAGCACTCTTGCCCAAGCATTCTACCACCATGGTCGACTTTGTGCTTCCAACCAGGCAACTGTGATGGTCTTAGTGATCGTCTTTGTTGGTATGATCTCTTATCCTGGTATTATTACTTCCTACAACTCTTCAACTTATGTTCGACAACGGTCTGCTGCTGCTGCTCTCTCTAGTCGTAACCTCTCACTCTCAGCATGGAAGTACTATTCTACAGAACTGTTGATGGTCCCCAGTGGTGGCGGAAAAAGTGGTAGACGGCGTAGCCACCATCCTCGATACCACGACCAGCATGTGTTTGAAGGAGATCTAGATTTGTTTTGGACACAAAAGACAATCGTTCCAACATGGACGCAAGATCCCGAAGTGTTCAACCGAAACCTACCTTCTATGGATCCACTTCACTTTATCGCTCCAATCATTATAAATGCTACGGAGCTCCTATTAACACCACTGCAAGAAGAGGAAGAGGAAGGAGAAGAACAAGAGAAAAACCTTGTTGATACAGAAACCAACGCGAATTTTAGATCAGACAAGAAGATGATGAAAGAGCGAGATAGACTTCATCTGACTCCAATAACAACGACAGATTTATTGGCCTATGCCGCCCATATCCAGCGGAAACTACAAAATATTGAAGTTGAATATAGCTCAGACGATAAAATACGATCGGATACCGAAAGGGGTGCTGCCACATCAGCTGCTGCAGGAAAGGACCCCATGAAATCGCCATGGATGATCTCACTCAAAGACATTTGTGTATTGGAGCCTCTGGAGCAGAATAGTGACACTACAAATCAGAGTCGATCTGCACAGATTGAGCGTAAATGTCTTGTGCATTCACCCCGAGATGAACAATCCACAACAACGTTTGGTATCCTATCTTTGGACCATCATAATTCATTAGTGGATGAACATCCTCAAGCGTCCTTGATTATGGCATACTATTTACGGGGCGATCTTGGCAAGAATCGTCGTCATCATCATGATCAACAATATGATAATAAATTCATGCATAAAGAGGGCTTTGCATGGAACACATTGGATGTAAGACGAGCATGGCGTCTGATCTTCAACAGACTTATTTTGGAACTACAAGCTGACCTTGATCAGCATGATATGATCCATGATGTCCGAAATCCGCACAAAGCATCGCCTATCGCCACGGAGGATACTCTACCATTGAAATTCGGTATGCTCAATAAGGATCAAAAATCAGGCAATATAATTGATACATCGACATCAGCCTCACTAGCATCAGCATCAACATCTACCTCAACCTCAACTTCAACCTTAACCTCAGCCCCAATAGGAAATACTAGCCTCCAATTTATGGTCCAAGGGATCCTGCCAATGGATTTATCACAAACAATATCTAGGCGTCTTGTCACAGAGGTAGGTAAAGCAATAAAGCAATAAAAGCATATCTAAACCATTAAGTATATATGACATTAACACTCACAGCTTTTTTTATTTATTTTATTTTTATTATACATATATATATAAATGTTATAGGAGAATGCACAACCACGAACAAATATATCTGCTGAATACTGGCTACTTGCAATGGCTTATTTTGTAATGTTTCTTTACATTTCATTATCAGTTGGGAGAGTGGACTTAGTCAAGTCCAAGTACGGCCTTGGAATCGCTGCTGTCGCAACAGTCTTTGTATCGTTGCTCATGTCCATCGGTCTTTGCTCAGTTTTTGGAGTTACATTAACACTTATGCCATGGTAAGTGTTTTTCCTTTCAGATAGCTCTCGTATAAAACAGCTTATTCTTTATCTGCAACTTTTTTTTTTTTTTTTTTTTTTAAAAAAAAAAATGTGATCCTCTGGCATCATAGGGAAATTTTACCGTTTATGATTATCGTCGTAGGCGTAGAAAATATCAACATCTTGGTACACGCAGTTGTCGAGACATCAATGGATTTGCCCGTCAAGGAAAGGGTAGGGCGAGGACTAGGCACTGTTGGGGTTTCGATCACAATGACACTTGTAGCAGAACTATGCTTACTGGTCATTGGAGCCATGACAACTATCCCAGCTGTCCAAGAGTTTTGTACTTTTGCCATTGCGGCTGTCATCATGGACTATCTTCTACAGATGACATTCTTTATCACTGTCATCTCGATTGATATCCGCCGTCTAGAACTCTCAGATCTATCCACTCGATCCGCAACCGCTTACTCACGCTACCCATTCGGAACAACACGACACCAATCTATAAAACCCAATGGCGCTTTCACATACGAAGACGAACGGAGTCGACATCATCGGAAGGATAGCACTAGCTCACAAAATAGTGATGGTGGCGAGTCAAAGTCAAGCGGGAAGCCGTCAAAAGCTAATCGAAAAGGCCGAATCTTTACATCCATTACTGTAAGCACTATTTTACAGACAAGTCATATATGTATATGGACTGGCTGTTGCTGCTTTACTTTAGTAGTTTTTTTTTTTTTTTTTTTCTTCGCTTGACCTCATTAATCGATTTTTGAACATATTAGATGCTGGGTGTCATGGCGTATCTTGGATATATTTATGGCACTACAAATCAACCTGCTAGAGGAGAAACAGAGCAACACGGCCCTATTACTGTGTCTTATTGGCGCATCCTATCATCGGAGGATGCAGCGGAGTTTTGGACATTAATTGACCCAGGCAAAGTTGGAGGCTATCTGGAGATTGAGTCACCCGCAGTTGTGGCATTAGTACCATCTTCTAGTTTTGACACCACCTTAAGTTCAACAACATGTCATATGACCCCTCCAGAGTCTGAGAATTCTGAATGTGAAGTGGATCATGATTTAGGTGCCGACACTCTCAACGGCGTAAATACTGGAAACCCAATATCACTAAACAATGATCAACTGTTAGATCCACGTCGGCCATTTAAGCTTCTTCGAGATGTAATGATATTCATCTGTTTCTTCGCTGTCTGGCTCGTGCGTGTGTTTGTGATTCCATCTATTGTCCTGGCAGCTGCGATTTTGCTGCTATTATCGTATCTATTAAGTCCACAGCGCAAATTATTGGTCGATTTGCAATGGAGGTTTCCATTTATTGTCTTGCCCGGAGATTATCAGTCCAAGAGAAAGCTGATGATGGATGAATTGATGACCCAGGAAGCAAGAGAGCTAGGACAAGAAGCAGCAGGAATACCATGCTTGCCCTTACCAGGGATTGTAGACACCTTGCACAAGAGAGGTCATAAGTCCGATATTGACCAGATGGATGTCTCTGTAGAAGCATGTCTTGTATTGACCTCAAGCATGGATGGGACTATCCTTTTATGGAGTGGATCGACTACTGCTGCAGTAATGTCAGGAGGTGATATTGATCAAAATACCGTCCCATTAGTCCGTCTAGAAGAAAGGGAGGCAACAGCAACGTCTACTAAGCCCGGGATCCAACGATCCAGGAATCGCCCTGTAAAGTTTCTAAAGCTAGATTGCACAGGTAGATTTGCAATCGCTGGATACGGTGACAACAGTATTCATGTTTGGAAGCTAGACTCTATAACATCTCCACAGACGGATGGATACTGGATGGAGCGAGTGCCAGTGCTAAACCCATCGTTAGAGTTAGTACGCAAGTTCGAAGCAACGCTGAGCACATCCACATCGACAACAGATACTTCCAAACTAAAAGTAACTAGCGTTTGTCTCTGGGGACTCTCCTTGTTGGTGGGTTATCGCGACGGCCAAATCTGGCAGTGGGATCTTTCCGCAGGCACTGGTACATATATCGCGGAATGCAAGCATCGAGGAGGAGTTACAGAGCTAGAAGTCGTTGTTCTAGATCCCAAGACTAGAGAGGAGCTCGGGCTGAAGCCTAAGACCTACCTTGTTGCTGCTGGCAAAGATGGAGGCATTCAATGCTGGAGCACCAACAGGGCTTTAATCTCGGCTTTAGATATCACGACTGGCATATTCGGGCGGGACAAATGGACATCTCTCTGGAGTCATTCAGGCCTTGGTACAGGCGTCAGCCCCTCTGTATTAACGTTGGATCCAGAAGTACCCATGGTAGCTGTTGGCTATTCAAATGGTGCAATCAAAATCTGGGATTTAGAGCATGGGAATCTAGTTTGGATCCTTTCCCGAGGACTCCTCTCTACACCAAGCGTCACTCATTATGCTAGAGGGCGCTCGCAGGAATCCCCTGATAGTAGTCATCAACCGTCGCACCAAGGCGCAATTACAAAGTTGTGTTTTCATGCTCTTGAACTGGAGGATGGATTGACAGGCGAACCTGCGCCACGTGTTTGGCTGGTTGTTTCTAGTAGCACAGACGAAACAGTGATGATATGGATTGTAGAATGGGAAGGCTTGATGGGTATAACAACGTCTTATAGTCGACCATCAGGGCCTGGGCTCGATTCTGGAACAAGGCGAGAAGGTGTGTCTACTCAATATCGGGACCTACCTTCTGAGTTTACGCGTTCAAATAGCCTGTTTGAGTCAACTTTAAAAACAAGCACGGATAATTCAATGGATTTCATTGGTACGCTAAGCTCGTCGCTACCAGCGCCACGACTTGTGGGTTTCATGAAACAGCGCGGTGGCAAGAGCATAACGGTCAGCAACTCTCGCTTGTACGGTGTACGTCGGATAGAGTCTACAGCAGTTAGTAATCTTAGTGATACTCTCCAACCCCCTAGGCAATTCTATTCGTCTGTTCTGGGCAATCTCAACAATAACATGCGGAGTCGACGGAAAGGTGAAGGTGGTTTTGATTCGTCTAATTGGGCGAATGCTATTGCTACTATAGACTCTCCAAAAGCCGGTAACCGTCCTTTAAAACGAGGATGGGAACTTTGGGAAGCAGACCTTTATCAATGCATATTTAAGGATCTAGGAGTCTGGAGTCTGAACTTGTCAGTGCGCACTCTCAATTTGCAATCACCATTATCCTCGCAGCAGCAGCAATCTCGTCCGTTTACTATAGCTCCAGTACAAAGGCAGAGTGCAACTGATACATCCGACGTTATGGTCAGCTCTAATGGATCTTCAATGGCAATGCCTGTCCCAGTGCACGATCAATCCCATGCTCATCACTACCTCCGTGGCGACTTGTCGATCCTAAATCCAGAGATGAAGCCAAAACTTCAACAAAAGCCTGCATCTTTTTCATATCAGGGTAACCATCATCGGGGACATATGTATTTAAAGGGACCCAAAACCAGACAGTCTGCAATCAACTTGTCCCCGTCTTCGCCCTCCTCTCTTAATAAGCATGGACAGTCGTTTATGTATCCAACACAGTCTGGGCGAAATGAGAGGCCTTCTGTACGGACTGATGGTGCTTGGATGATGACAGAGGAACATTATGAGGATAGCAATGATGGTAATGATGATTTAGAGTCATTTCTACTACCTTTTGTAGAGACAAAGTTGTTGGAGGCATTGCCGAGGCGAATAAGCAGACAACAGAAGGATTGTCATTCTCAACAGCTGCCATCTTCGTCATCGTCCTTATCACTATCATCGTCCTACTCTGACAGTGGGAGGGAAATGGAAATTAAAGACATTGTCATAGGGTTCGGTAACTTTATCAAGATTGTGCGTCTTCAGGATGAGGATGAAGAACAGGACGGTGAAGACCGCGAAAAACATCTCCATTAATGTATATCCACCAATTCTTAAATCAATATTATTTTTCTGCTTATATTGTGATTTTTTTCCCCTTCATTTTAGTCGTGTCCATTTGTACAGTAATGTGAAATAAATAACATGTTGTAGCCTTTTGTTAAAATTATTACTATTTATTCAATGCATATTGTACAAACGGACAAGGAATGATTGATCCAAAAGCTGGTCTTTTCAAAACTTTTGGAGACCAGCACTAGCTATATAACTGTTCCATTCGTCCCAATCAATAGTGTTGGGGATGCCAAAAAATGGATTTGGTACTGCGGCCATCGTACTTCCATCCTGCTGTTGCTGTTGTTGTTGTTGTTGTTGTTGCTGTTGCTGTGTCATCTGCGCTTGCAAAAGCTGATGCTGTTGCCGTTGCTGTTGCTGAAGTTGGGGGAACAACGAGAAGTCTGAAAAGTCTACTCCTCCATTAGACGTGTGTACTGGATTAGAAGCATTCATAAATGCAAATGTCGTTGTAGTGGAGCTGTTGTTGTTATTGCTATTATTGTTATCACACGATACAAGGCCTGATATACTAGGACTGGACTTAAAGTCAGTTCCTGCTGCTATTGTAGCAGCACTCGTTAGAATGAAATTGCTGCTTTGTGGGAATGGTTGTTGTTGCTGTTGGTATGATATGAATGACTGCTCAGTCTGTTGTTGCTTTTGCTGCTGCTGCTGCTGGCCCTGTTTCAAATCCTGCTGCAAGAGCTGTCTAAGAACTGAACCAGCTGGGACGGGTGGCGGTTGAGAGGTAGGGAGCCCTATCATCGGGCCAAAATTCCTGCTTGTTTGAAGCGCAAACGGCGATGAAAACAGTGGTGTGGCCGAAAAGGGTTGCTGTTGCTGTTGTTGTTGCGGCTGTTGCTGCGGCTGTTGTTGTAACGCTCGTAGCTTCAGCGACAGTTGTGTTTGCTGTCCGCTTTGCTCTTGCAGCTGCTGCAGCTGCAACTGTTGTTGAGCAAGCATTTGATCATGGTCCATAAATGCCTGCCCTTCCGTAAACATTCCAGGGGTCGACAAGGAGGAGAATGTAAACATTGGTTGGTCCTGCAACGTCGATGTCGCTGGAGATGTCGAGCTTTTGAGGGTCGGTATTGATACTGATCCAGGCACAGCTGCAGATGGAGGCTCATTGTTACTACAACTGGATAATGTCGGCTGAGAAGGTGAGCTGCTGCCAGTAGAAGTTGAGGACAAAAGTGAATTCCTTTGCGATGTTGGTTTTCGTCCTTTTTTCACTTGTCGAACGGATGAGTGCCCTGTAGATTCTTGATTGATACCACTTGTTGAGGCGGTATCTGATCCTACCACATCATTCTTAGTATCTTGAGCATCCGGATGATGCGCCATAGGCATCGATGGAGATGAATCAGGAGTAGTCGTGCTCGAGCTGGGTGAGTAAGGCGTGCCTATAGGTTTCGGCGCAAATAGCAGCGTCCCTCCTGAAGGATGATTCTGGTCCCTAAGAATAATCGGATAGGAGGAACCAGGTTCCCCAACTCTACCAATCACGATAGGCTCCATAAGACGGCCTTCCTGATTATTATAGTCATCAAAATTCAAGTGTGCACACATTAGGTCTTCCAACAACACCGAGAACTTTGCAGCATTGAACCAACGTTGGCCAATCTTCTTCATGTATTCGATACACTTGACCAAGTTCTTTCTGGCTTGGGTCTGAAGCCGGATATTGATTGATGCAGAATTAGTCAAATGGATCAGAGCCGAAGTAAAGGCTTCGAACGTTGAAAAATTCCATGCATCATCAAGATGTCCGATCTCATCCAGTTTTCCAAGGAGATGTGTAATCGAGTTGGCAGCTGAAACTGCGATGTTGAGTGATGGCATTGATTCGGAAATCTTGGACTTTGTCAGAGACGTTGGAAACATGTATGGCCGATGCAATAAAATCAGACAGACGTCTGAAATGGTGGAGAAAAAAAAAATGGAAAAAAAAAAAATTATAAGTATCGCGTTTTTCTTTACAAGGTCATAATTGCTTTGTGATCTTAAATTTCATTCCAAAAAAATATCAGCCCTTACAGTATGAACAGTGAATAGTAGCAACCCAACGATTAATCTTAGCACCACTAGCCATGATCTGATGGTCATATTTCAGCTCCTTAGGAAGACCTAGAAGCCAATTTGTAAGCATATTATCGAGCTCTGCGACAGTCGAGCTAACCTGCACAGGTCCATGATTCCTTGTCGTGGCCCCATAAATGCGCCTCAGAATTTGCCCAAGAATCTGGCACAGTTTGATGGTTTCAGTAAAATAATGAAGTGAAAACTGGGACTCCTCCTTACGCTTTTCCGCACCTTCATCTGGTGATCCTGAAATACCATCGAAATCATTCCAATCTTGATCGATCATTACAGGGAAATCAACATCGCAATCGTTGTCATCGATGGCGAGCGGTCGACCCATTGCAGCACTGACTTGACGATCCATTATATAACAAGTCCACCACAACCGTTTACGGATCTCGGTCTCTAGAGGCGGAAGGTCCCAACGGGATGAGTTTCGATGCATACCCATGTCCTGTGCCATTCTCGTGGCCATGCCTAACAATACCCAGACACGACCACCCGATTTGGAGTTTGTGAGACGATAAGTAACCATGAGTAACAACGCCTGAATGGATGACTGACGTGGCAACTCGTATTCCAAATCGACTAATCGTTTTGCTCTGTAGAAATACTCGTCCCCAAATCCCTCGGTATCGTTACCGTATCCTGTGATCTCTGGGTGTTGCGAAAAACGAGAAGCAATAGCAAACATGGCATTCAAGAGTACTCTTGGAGGTCTCTTATCAGGGTCCGGATTCCGATACTGGCGCATGAATGATGATTTGTGAACAACAGGGATATGTCGATGCACATGGGTCCAGTAGCACTCTATTAGATGATCAGCTAAATCATTGGGTGGAAGAGGCATAGCTGCTGCAGCCTGAGCGACCTCGGCCTCTCTCTCGAGCAGCCATTCCTGGTGATCTCTCATTTTCACGGGAACCATGAGATATCCATTCTTTAAAATCTGACTCTTTTGTAGTAGATCAATTCCTGAGCTGTTGCCGAGGTATCGAATGAATCCGCCATCATCCAAATTCATCGAGTCCATGCTATCCGATAGTGCATTGATCTTTTGTCTAGCATCCAGATCGAACTGCATAGCTTTTTTTTCATCATCATCCAGTCCAGCCGATTCATTAAGGAGAGTCGATGGGTTCGTAGAAATATCTGCCGTCGAAGGCGAACTATGACGGTTCCCTGATGCAGATACTGAGCTAGCTGGATGCCCAAGTATTGATGTATTATCGGGTGAGTGAGATGGCCAGACTGTGTCGGCTGTATCGATGTCTTCATCTAGATCCTCCTTTAAGCTATCAAGATCTAATTTAGGGCGCTCTCCACTTTGAACAAGTCCTCCAAGAAGATTCTCCATCCTATGTAATCTGTTTTCTAATGCTTCGATATATCCTTTAGGAGGCCCTCTCTTTTTTGCAGAATCATTGAATCTTTATAAAAAAAGATGGTATGAGATAGGAGAGTAAATGGAAAGACATAGTAGATCGAAATAGATCAGTCAGCATATAGAAAGAAATAAAACAAAGCATTTGTAAACAAGCGCCAAAACTTTGATTGCATCGTTCTACTCAGTTATATTTGTAGCAAGAATAAATGTCAAAAACCATTTTAACTAGACATACGTGCATTGGAAACCGAAGGTGGTGCAATTGGTGCATGAAGGCTGTACACCATCGCAGCGGACCTTTTTTCTCCGACAAGTATCACTGGTGGAGTAAAAGATCCATTGCGTTTGTGGTAAAAGAAGGAAAGAGCAAATGGATCAGCGATAGAAGGAACAAGGAGAGAGAGAAAGAAAAGAAAAGAACAAAAAAAAAAAAGCAATTGTAAGTGGTCCATGCTCGCAATGGCTGAAAACGGCCAAGAGATGTATGAAAGAGGATGTCTTACCATGCCCTTGAGACTCTGCGTCGTTTTGAATCGACCCGCTCTTGTGAGGCCATGGAGAGGAAAAATGAGAAGAATGAGAAGAATGAGAAGAATGAATCAATCGAGCGACGAATGCTGCTGCTATTACTGGTCGTCTTTGAATGATTACAATAGATTGTGAGTGGAAAGGAAGAGAGAAAGAGACAAGAAACATGTTGCGGCTGTTGTAACTGGATAAATTGCTGCTCAAACATAACAAAATCAGGCTGTGTGTTGACTAAACTATACCTCCCTGTATCACCATAAGTCACCATAAGTCGGGAACCTGAACCTTTGTTTATCTCATCTCTTGACTCTCTCTCCCTTTCTCTTTCTCTCCCTTTATATTCTTATATTCCCATTAATTCCTCCATCAACTCATCTTCCTCTACTAGGGTAGGTGGTGAAAAGGAAGGGGAAAGTGTGAAAACACACAATTATGTGGATGGGAGTGGGAATGACATGCTCTCAAATAAATGTACTCCTAAAATGGCAATTTTAACGCAACCAACGAAATGCGCAAGCGCAGTCGTTTTAATATTATTAACAGAACTTGGTGTCTATACGCAAAGGAAACGATTACTACCTCCCTCACTTGACAAGTGCTTTGTGCAGCGTATCCCTGTTCACTTTGTTTTTTAGACACTTCTAATAAGTGGATGAAAATGCAATTACGTGTGTCTGTGTCCTTGTTTAGTCTTCAGTGTAAAACAAATTAACCAAAGAAAACAAAGTCTCTTCTCAAAGACAAAAAATATGTGCTCAACCCCAAAATCCCATAAAAATGGTGTGGCTGAGAAGGATTGACTTATTGCGCACTCAACCAGGGTTCTAATCCTTGAGACCCTTTTTAAATGTTCCTGCTCACCCTTGCCTCTGTTGCTTCTCGGCCTCGGCAACAAATAGCAAGATGTTTCACCCTAACTGGATTAACGTCCTATCGACAATGGCACTTTAATGCTTCATTGATATCGAGGGTATCGCTAACGTATAAAATAGAAACAAACAGGGTCTACTTTCGATTATTATCCACACCTCTTTCATCCTTACATCTCAAATCCCTCAGCTATCTGCGCGAATACTGATATCCCTCAAAACAAAAGAAACAACAGAAAATGAGATCCACATCCTTACTTTCATCTCTTTCATTACTCGCATCCTTCCTGGCAGCATCACACGCTAAAGGGTCATTTCATGAGTCACTTAAGAACCACGACAACTTTATTACCGCGGATGGCTATGGACCAGAGAGGTAAGGTTCAGTTGCTGTAAACGACTCTGATAATAAAAAGAGCCACCGTCTACATTCACACGACAGGAGTACAACTGTTATACGAGCATATCTATATTTCCAAGACTTATTTATAATTACTAAACAAGATAAATGGATATCATGGTTATTGCTTCTACTCAGATGGGGATGCTCTTTTAGAGACACTCAAGTACACGAGAGCAGCTCCGGTACTCGTATCACCATCGGCAAAGACTCTGATCTGAAGCCTTATTCATGTGGCGAGCTTATCTACCAGGAAGAAGACTTAGCGTATGGTCACTATTCTATTGACATGATCGCCTCTAACGTCGTCGGACACGTTACAGCATTCTTCTTGATCGCGAATGGAGACACAGAAATCGATGTGGAACTAACAGGTTTAAATAATAATATCGCGTGGATGAATATCTGGCATGACAACAAACAGAATCCTGTCTCTGTTGACCTTTCATTTGACACGTCTGAAGATTGGCATACATATTCGTTCGAGTGGCGGAAGAATTATGTGGCATGGTTTATAGATGGGGAGCTCGTCCTAAACCGTACGGACATTCCTACTACCAAACCATGGGATACCAATTATAGATTGGTCATTAACTCGTGGACTCAGGTCAATCCAGAAGTCAATATCGAATGGGCAGGTCAATTTGAGTATCCGACCGATGGACAGGTTCCACAGGCGCAGTTCAGGAACATCCGATACAGACCATAAAGTGAAGTACAAATGGCCATAGCACATGTAGTATCGAAATTTGGCTTAGTCACAGTAGGGACTTCGCCATGTCATGGTGGCCGGAGAGGAATTCATGTGAGGGATAACGACGATTTGCATTCTGTATAACTATATAAAGGTGTATTTTACATTTAATAAAAATTCCTTGATATTTTTTTCATTTTATAAGCAGAATGAATTGTTTGGTTATTCCCAGCATTTCAGGATGTCTGTACTACAAAGGATCCCGGATCACATTATTGGTTCGATCCTTAGTTTTGTCCGTCTGGAAAGACGAGAAGGCCCCATATTCCGAAGGGCTCCATAAATCGACATTTCTCTACTCATTTGTATTGATTCGGGCTCAAACACACATTCATCTTTTTTTTTTTTTTTTTTTTTGCCTTCTTGTACTCATGCTCCATAAACATTAACTCCTCCACATCATTCCATTAGAACACCTGACGAAAAGAAACTTTACTTTTTTTTTTTTTGCAGTGCTTGGTCTCAGGACTTGGCGCAAAGACAAAGATAAACAAAAAAACGAGGCTCTTTGCTACATGTTGCACGCACCCCCCTACTCTTGTTCACTTTGAAATGCCTTTGTGGCCCCTGCTATTCTTTCAATCTATCACGCAAGTATAAACACAAAAATACAAACCTTTATTCGTGAATTGTTTTTGTCATCAAAAATAAAACAACAATAGAAAAAAACAACAGCAACAATAATAAAGAAATAAAGAAAGAAATAAAAGCGATCGACGATATACATGTATCACTATGAATTTATATCCATATCGCGGTCATATGTCAACGGTGAGAAGGTCATTAAAACGAAAAATGAAGGCGTAGAAAGGATAGATCAAGGATGAGAATCATTAAACATTTGCTAAGCAATTTATATACCTCTGCAGGACACTACGCAAGCGTCATTATAAGGTTACTTCCAGCATGGGCCTACAAGGGCTTAATTCTAGTTGATAGTCGATACAACGTCTTTATAAGATTCCTGATACATTATATGAACATTAGAACATTGGTTTGATGCTTATCAAAGGCTCTGGCAATATTTCAATGTCCCTCGGATCCCACAACCCGATAATTTTTTCCTTGTTCGCCCTCGCCCCAATAGAAGCGCCAGGCAGGAAGTGTGGTTTACAAATATATACAAGGCTCTTCTTTTTTTTTTTACATGTACTTTTCAAATTCCTCCATATAACCTTAGTCTGCCTCTTCTCGTCTTCTAATGGAGCAGGATGCATTTCTGCTGATTCATAAGAGTTACACTAGGAGAGCAAGAGAGGCGAAGACGAAAAAAATACATTCAAACGCATGTGGGAGAATACAGAGATGTCTTTTGTTTGTTGTTTTGATGTTTTGGTTTGTGTTATTTTTTTACGTTTTGTCACTGTGGAGGCGTAACAATCGAAATGTGGATTAAGAAAGTCCTCTGAACGATATGAATGCTGATTGTTTGTAGCACAAACTTGCAGCTTGGGGATGAGAAAAAAAATAAGAGCCGCCACGCCGCCAGCGATGTTTTTATGCTGCGTGCTATTGGCTACTTTGCTTTTTCTTCTTTGCTGTTCTTAAGGCTAACCTTCTTTAAGAAGATGTTTATGTATACATGTACATGTACTGCACTCACATTAATGTGGGTGTGCAATGTTTGTGCGTGCGTAAAAGACCAAGGCGAATTTTTCTATTTTTTCATCTTGTTCATATGTCTCCATTATTTTGGCTCTCATGTTTGTTTTTCGCGTTGCGGAAGAAAAAAATTAGGCAAATGATATGATATGAAATGAGCGATGAGTGATTTTACGTCCATTTCATATACCAGTGGAAAGGTTCATCCCCTAAAATGCAATGGATTCGAAGGGGTTCGTAGGGATACATGTCAATACCGTATCAGTTTTCTAAATGGCATTCTTCTGCACCCTCAGAAGACCATTGGCAGCCAGTAACACGAGTAAAGACGGCAAAAGAGAAAAATAAAATATGCTGACATGGCGCCTATATCATGTTTGTTTTTTTATGTGTCCATGTCTTAATGCAACCCAGTTGACAAATACGAACACAAAAACAAAAAACAATGCCACCAACAAGGACATTATTCATGTATCGTATATATTATTTATAATATATACACATATTCATTTGTTTTTTATTTATTCGTTTATTCAGTTCCCATCTAGAGTTCACAGCAGCAAATAAAAAATATCTCCAGATGTCTTGATAGTATAAATACAAAGCATGGGTGTGGTCTGGCAACAACCTGCTGGTGAACCAAAGCCTATCCTAAAGTCCCTCTCACTTCCCCCCCTCTTTACCATCTTCTTCACCCTTTCCACACCCTTCCATTCTTTCCTCGCCGCCCCCTTTTTGCTTTATTCATTCGCCTTTACCTTAGTACTATCTGCTTGGCCGTTGTGATTTTTATTAGTCCATTTCGCCATTTAGTACAACACCACTTTCCACAATGGCTTTCGATATTCGTGATGAGGACGAGCACAACGATGAATTTGATGAGTATGAGGATGTGAAGCAGCCCACCCGTCCAAAATTCTATCGTCGTCGTAAGTTCTGGATCTGCTGCATCCCCACTACCATCATCACCGTCGTTGTCGCAGTCATTTTGGCACTCTATGTCATTATGCCAAAGATTGCCCAAGGTTTGATGAACAAGTCGACTATCAACTTAACACAAATCGTAAGTCTATCTTTTTTAGGCAACAAACGCTGAGAGGGGAAAAGATCAATGCATGAACATCGTTTTTTATTTTACATCTAACATGGACTCTTTCCTTTTCAGGATATTACAAATCCCACTCCAACCTCGATGGACATTGTGATGAAAGGAGAGATGCAAAACACAGGTCCCTTCCATGCTGACATTTCATTCCCTGGCATCGTCACTGTTTCCTGGGAAGGTAAGGTGCTCGGCACCACTCTGATCCCCGGCACCAGCAGCGCTGCGTAAGTCAACATTCCTTCTCAATTGTATTTCTTGCTGCTTACAATATGCGCTTCTGCTTTCTTCCGCTTACGAATAACACATTCATTCATTTTCTTCATGTTCCGCCATGCAGTGGTGGACGAGGTGATTTGGATCTGCAGAGCAGCTTCACTGTCACTGATGAAGCTGCTTTTACTGAGTTTTCGAGCTTTATGCTGAACGCCGAGTCCTTCGTCTGGCACCTTGAGGGTAAACTAAACGTGAAAGCTCTTGGCCACACTGTCAAAGATCTCGACCTGAGCAAAGATGTCACAGTCAATGGTGAGTACTCGTCAAGGACCAGAGTCCTTATTCATCTGTCCTATCAACATGTATATTTGTATTTTTATTGACTGTATTTATCCTTTGTGTGTGTATTATGTATTATAAGCATTCAAGGGCCTGTCTGGTGTCACAATTAAAAGGTTCTCGCTTCCTGGTGATGATCCCACTGGCAAAGGCATTCTCATCGAGATCGATACCGAGGTCAACAATCCTTCATCCATCCAGATGTACATGGGTAGCCTGACACTCGCCATCTCGTACAAGAACACCTTGATGGGATATGTCACCTCCTCAGACCTGACCATGATGCGTGGCCCCCAAACTTTGAGCATGAAGGGCGTCCTTATCCCCCAGACGACCGCTGAAGGCCTTGCTGCTACCTCCGAGATGATGTCGCGCTACATTGGCAACGTTGTAACCGAGACCATCGCAACAGGCTTTGAAGTCAAGCCCGATGGCGTGAACTCTGTTGAATGGTTGTCGGCTGCTGTCAAAAACTTGAAGTTGTCTGTCCCACTCCAGAGCCCTGCCCCACTCCAATTGATCAAGGGCCTCAACTTGGGTGCACTGGGTTTAGTTTTCACTCCCCCGACTGCATACCAACCTATCACAACCTCCACTGGTGTCCTTGCCAACTACACCCTCCCTGATGGTTTTGGATTCAATATCGCGTTCACTCAGGTCGCCAACTCATTTGCACTAAGCCGCAACAATGTCGTCATCGCCAACCTCAACTCGACTTATAACCCCTCATCCTCTGATATGGCGGCTGGCACCTTAACCTTTAATCTCTTGGAGACACCTCTTAACGTCCCTGAGCCCTCCTATGCCGCCTTCCAAGAGTTTAACCGTGACTTGACTGTTGGCTCCGATCTCGGTTTCAACGTTGTTGGATTTGCTTCTGTCTTTGCCAATACCTCGATTGGAACTGTCAACCTGGTCGACATTCCTTTCAATGCCTCGACCCAGCTCAGTGGTTTGCAGAGCCTTGCCAATCCTGCTCCCACAATCACTTCTCTTCAGGTTGTATCTGGTACCGCCACTGACTTGACCATGGCCATCACTGTTGTGATTGTGAACCCATCTTCTATCTCTTTGAGCGCTGGAGATGTCGTCCTCGACTTGATCTACAATGGTGTGCGTCTTGGAACTGTGACAATGCCCAACCTGGCCATCGTCCCTGGTGCAAACACTGTCCAAGCCTCTTCAACAATCGATCCCGCATCCTCACCTGAAGGCATGGAGCTCTTGACTCTGTACACCAGTGGCGCTGGCGCTTCCGTAAGCATTGTTGGCACTCCTAGCAGCACAGCCGTTGAATCCCTCTCTCTTGCTTTTGGTGCCCTTAACATTGGCTCGCAAATGCCTGGCTTGGAGTCCAAGTTGCTTGCAGGCGCTTCCTTGGTTGTCCTCGACACTACTCTCGTCAACGGTATTGCCCAGACTGTTGTAACTGTCAACAACCCCTTCGTTCCTGATATGAGCATTTTATCCATCGACTCTGCGATTACCTACAATGGTGTTTCACTTGGTACAGTCGTTTCTTCATTCTCTTCCCCTCCAGTGATCCCCGGAGCTGGCCAGGGAACCATTACTGCAAGTTTGGCAATGAACACCAATCCTCATGACCTTGTCACCTTGATCCGTGCTCAAGCAGTCAAGAATGGTCTGAACACTGATGCATTCGATGGCCTCCTTGCGCTCCAGGAAGGCGGCAATCCTCCATCAAGCTTGTTCGATGGCTTCAATGTTGCCGACTTTGTAATCAAGGCAATGTCTGGCCTTGCTGTCGATATTACCATGACTACCACTGTCAAGCTTGGTGATTATCAGGTGACAATGCCCTACACTCAGAATGGAGTTCCTACTAGCACTGACCAAACCATTTTGAAGCTTATTCCTATTGTCGGTACGCCCATTGCTCAACTCTTGGTCGAGCGCTCTATCCTTGCCTTTGATTCAATCAACATCCTTGCTCCCGGTGAGACCAGCTTTCAGACAGATATTGTAGGAGCCATCACAGAGACTGGTCCCTTGGATGCTGAGATCCAGTTCCCCAAGCCCGTGACGATTGCATACAATGGCAAGGCTATTGGATCCATGATGATGCCTACCGTCAAAGCCATCGCAAACAAGGGTGCTGAGCTGGACCTGAAGGGCGTGGAGTTCACTATCACAGACTTGGCAGCCTTCACCGACTTTAACGTCTTTGCAGTGAACAATGAGAAGTTCCAGTGGACCATCTCGACGGATGGTTTGGTTGTTAACGCCATGGGTGTCGCCCTTCCAGGAGTGACTATGTCCAAGACAGTTACGTTGGATGGATTCAACAAGCTTGCGGGCTTAGAGTTGTCTAGCTACATTATCAACGCAATTGATGCTGCTGGACTGCACATGGTTATCAGTGCTTCCATCACTAACCCTTCAACCATCGGCATGACCATCCCTACCTCGATTTTCAATACTATGTTCCACGGGAAGGTCCTGGGACCAGCTGTAGCGACGGGATTGACCCTTGTTCCCCATGGAAGCTCTAGCTTTGCCCTGGATGCCACCATCTCTAGCGAAAATGGTGACCTAAGACCCTACCTGACTGGCATTTTCCAGAACGCACTCGGTGGCGTCGCAACAGAGCTGGATGCTCAAGGAGCAGGTGCCCCTGGAACTTCATGGCTAGACACCGCGATCAAGTCATTATTGCTTCATACATCTCTGCCTCCCCTCACCGCCCCACCAATTGTTTCAGTCGCCATCGATGCCATGTCCATGGACTTTACATGTGAATCCTGCGTCTGGGCACCTACAGCCATTTCATCCATCACAGCCAAAACTAATCTCCCTTTCGCTAATGGAGCCCCTATCGTTAAGCTCAGCCAGAATGTTGACATCTTGGATAAGAATGGTGAGCTTGTCGGTAGGTTGAGCACGCCCTATGCCGATGCCGTTGCTTCTGGAGACACAGTCAAGTCTACATCGCCTGCGGCCCCTCTGGTGGTTGCAGATGGGTCTCATGAAGTGTATACGGCTTTCATTGGAGACTTGAACGAAGCTACGACGTATGAGATGGGTCTTCGTGGAACAGCCGATTCGATCCTTGATCTCGGAGCGCTTGGTCAGATTGAGGTCAAGGGCATCAAGTTGGATGTGAAGACCTCACTGGATGGCCTTCAAGGCTTGCAGCGCATTGAATATGTCAGTAGTTTGGGCCTTAACCCCGTTAATGGAGGCACCTTCATCGCAAATATCGTCAACATCTACAACCCGAGCAAGCTTACCTTGAAGATCGGAGATCTTAATATGAAGCTTGGACTTGACACCACACCCGAGCAATATGCCGGCGTATCGACTATCTTTGACCTGACATTAGCTCCAGGTGATAATCAAGTCCCAGTGTCAGTGACGCTGACAGACACTGATGCGGCTAAATATATTGCGGGTAATATCTATACGCAGGATACCACCGTAACTTTATATGGTAGTACGACCAAGAACCCAGCATTGGAAGCAGGATTGAACCAACTTGTCACTCATATGGTTATCGCACTGGGATTGCCAGAGAAGTTTAGTATAATTCCATATAATTTGGACTGGAGCATCAAGGCATCACCTGAGACTGCAACAGATGGTTTGGTTGATGTAACTGGCACATTTAACAACCCCTACTTCGGTAGCATTGTTAATTTCCTTGCTTCTTTCGGTGACCCTGCTGAGTTTCCGGCTGGGATCGACGGCTTTTTCACTCTCGCAACGGATACTTCATTGGAAAACCCAATTTTCTCTAATGGCTGGAGTGTGCTCGAACCTGCCCCTGCAAGTGAGTTCAAGTTTACATTGAAGCCCGGTGAATCTGCCACTATAACGTACAAGATGCGTGTGATAAAATCAATGCTTGCTGGCGCCTCTGAATACTTCGAGAGCAACGCCCAAGCTGGAAAGTCTTTCCGAGGCACTTACAATATGGGCCCTGTCATCAGACTGGGCGACGATCCCGTAAGAATTAATCCTTATTGGGGCACCGATTATCTGTACCCATCCCCAGATTACCAGAGACTTCCCCTGCAGGTCACTATGACTGCTCAGGACTGGGCTTATATGAAGCCTTATGCTTACCCTGAACAAGCAATCGCACCCACCAATACAACTGTTATTGCTACCCCCACTCCCACTGCCACTGCCACAGAGACGGCTACGATCCCATCGCCTGTGCCCACTACGACGGATGAAATCTTGCCTTCACCGACGGAGCCCACGCCTAGCCCTGTCCCTGAAGAGCCAGCTCCTCCAGTTGAGGGAACGCCAACGACAGAACCTACGACAGAACCTACGACACCTCCAACTCCTTCTGAAGATGTGACGGTACCATCTCCATCACCCGAGAGTCCTTAAATGAAATAGGCTCTTTCAATCCTCTTTTATGACCTTGCTGATACTTCTCTTTATTTTGTTTTAATCATCTCTCTCATCATTTATCATACATATAATCCCTGATACCATAAAGCGTTGAATAATAATTTTCGACGATATTTAATGAAAACAGTGTGTGAACGACATAATTTTTCTCTAAACAATGATTGAAAATCGTTGAAATTGTCCTGAATTACAATTGTTATTGATATGAAAGAAAAGAAGGGAGTGTGATATGTGATATGAATGTTTTTTTGTTTGTCAAGAAGACTGGAACGAACAAAGCCATACTATACATGTAGGTCATCTTTGCATTATAGCATCAATGCAACAAGTTAAAAAAAGTATTATAGAAACTTTGTACTGGATACACAACTTTGTCCTTATTTTGATCCTGGTATATTCAGACTTCATAGCAATATTAAAGTCTCAATGTTTCCTACTAGTAACTTTTCTTTTCCATTTTTAAAGGATCATCTATGTAGCCATGGATTATAATTGGCATAAATAAAGGCCTATTTTCATTTATATCATTATTGAGTATTGTGTCTTCAGCCTGCCTTTAACGAGGATATAATGATTCTTTTTTTTTTTTTTTTTTTTTTTTTTTTCAAACAACTCATTATCAACTTAATCCTTGAGATAGTTGTGTTGAGAAACAATATCTAGTTTTCTGATGGCATTTAAGATATTGGGATTGGGTATCACCCAGGAATGATCCAACTTCATGATCTTAGAAATAGCTTTTGTAGGAAGGCTGATTCATGGCAAATATACCTGATTGTTAGCTCGTCCGGTTCCTAGGTGTTACTCTTATGAGATTTACTATTATATATATATATATATATATATATATTATACCATAGTAAAATACAAACATAATATATACTGCACCTGCTTCGCTATTCGTCGTTATTGGGTAGCATTGCTAAAAACTCGGTAGTCCTGACTTTGCACTATTTTCCTATATAAATGCGTTGGTTCGATAAGTTGATTCGAAGAACAAAATACATACAAAAATAATATTTCCCTATATATGAAATTTAGCGACTCTTTCTTTACATAGCTGCCTCAAGAATAAAGCTAAAGCTTGATTCTACAGAATTGCAGCCGTAGTATATATCTGGGGGAGCATAAACTTTGATACGAACCGGTCAGATTTAAGGAAACGCGAAGGATTGATTTCTCTAAAACACACACTTGCAAAAGTGTCTCAATGAGTTGTTTGAAAAAAAATAAAAAAAAATAAAAATAAAAATAAAAAAAAAAAAAAAAAAAAAAGAATCATTATATCCTCGTTAAAGGCAGGCTGAAGACACAATACTCAATAATGATATAAATGAAAATAGGCCTTTATTTATGCCAATTATAATCCATGGCTACATAGATGATCCTTTAAAAATGGAAAAGAAAAGTTACTAGTAGGAAACATTGCGACGCTTTGCCTGGTAGTAAATATATATGTGTGTATATACTATAGTAGTCTATTGTTGTTATTTCAATTGTTGTCCGAAAATGAAAGCAATGAAATATGAAGACATTGATAGAGAGATTTGCTTACTATGCTGCATACCATGTATACAAAGCCTATGTAGCTTATACTCATCATTCTCCTGAAAAACAGTTCATATTTGGATCTATAATCTACCTGAAACGAAGATCTTGTCAACGATTTTTTTTTTTTTTTTTTTTTTTTTTTTTTTTGCAACAACCATTCTCCAAATAAAGAACATAGTCTAAATACAAGGCTGCATGACATTGTGAATGTTCCTGAGCCTGATGTGTGTTCATTGGCCAATAATCGTAGAGTACTAGAAAGCATGGTCCTGTGCGGAACCTTGTTTGTGGCTCTCGGCGCTTGATTTTGTTGCCCTCTTTTCTTTTCTTTTCTTTTTTTTCTCAAGACTCCAGTCGGAGACTTCATTAGGTATTCACGCAATATTGTGGAGTTGGGTGTATTTTATATATGAATATTATTCTGAATTACCTTCATAATCTGTAGCATCTTATCCTTCGGGAATTTAACTAATTAAATTAGCATAAATAATATAATATAGCATATATTATACAAATGATTTAAAAGTATTATGACAGATACAGTGTGCATTATGAAAGACAAGTTTGTATCCAAGCAGTCGTGGTGAATGCCTCGAAACACATTGGCATGAAGGCTAGAAAAGTAAGAATAGAGAAAGAAGCTCTTCGGATCATTATTTGAATGTTGCACATGTAAATGCAGTCTTGTAATCCTTTCCTGACCATTCAAAGAGCAACGTGCAGGGACAAGTGGGCGGTGCGTTCTACCTGCACGTTTTTCTTGGGACGTGATCTGATTGGCTACCACCAGAGCACGGCTGTCTTTAATTTTAAGCTTGTTCTGAGGGTGTAAAATTGAGAGGAAAATCTTTTGGAACATCAGGCGATTGATTGCATAAACCAAACAGACACTGCGATTTCAGCACTCCAAGCTCTTAAGAAGCTGATTGGCAAGCAAAATGTTTCCAGAGTGATACAGGCTCCAATTTGAGGCAGCACACTTCGCCGACTTTCGTTGACCACGAATAAGGTTTAGCATGCAGTAGATCTCTAAGATCAATTTCCTTAGTGTATTTGCCTGGTTTGCCACATTGGGACCATTCTCGAAAATCATTCAGTCCTCTCACCCAACTTTGTCCCATCTTGCAGGATTGTTTATAATTATATAAATACCCTTTTGATCCCTCGTTCATTTTGTTCCTCGTTCCTTGCCCTTTGACTAACAAGACAGCCAATCCTTAGACCCGTTCTTCAGGGTCAATCCCTCCTTTCAAACAACACAGTAGTCAGTATAATACTATTTGTGTTCCTCCTCCCCATCCTCACATACTCCATCACATTATTATATAACCGAAAATGATGCAAGTTCATGATTATACCTTTCTGTTCGGGATCGGTCTCTTCTTCGCCTTCATGGATGCCTATGGTATTGGTGCCAACGATGTTGCCAATTCATTCGCTACCTCTGTCGGCTCTGGCTCCGTTACTCTTGCACAAGCCTTGATCATCGCTTGTTTCTGTGAATTCTTTGGTGCTTTCCTCCTCGGTGCTAATACCACTGAGACCATTAAAAGTGGAATTGTTTCGACTGAACTGTATGCTGCCACTCCTGAGCTTTTGATGTTGACTATGGTTTGCGCCTTGATCGGCTCCTCTACCTGGGTCTCTTTG